AGGAGGGGAGTATGTTGAGAAGAATTGGCAACCAAAAAATAAAACGGGCATGCAAAAAGTTTGGAGATGTTTGAAAAAAACTATCGTAACCTAATCGTAACTATGCTAAGCCCCCACCACTTTTTAAAAATGGACTTAAAAGTCAGATTCCTTATAGCCGAAAACCCTTGGGGAGCAAAATACAAATGAAATCTTTAAATGGGAAATTTTTCTTGTAAATTAAATTTGCAAAAACTTGCCGTTAAGAAATGAAATGATAGAGAAAAGCTCATTGAAATAGCCGTTAAGAAAGCCGTTAAGAAAGCCGTTAAGAAAGCCTTTAAGCCGTTAAGAAATGAAATGAAAAGAGAAAAGCTCATTGTTAGCGCTTTTGTCTCTTGATTGAATATCTTGAAATGATTGCAAATCTTGGAAAGAATGTTTAACACATTCATGACGAAGTTTTTTCGATTCTTGCCTAAGTTCTTTCCCTTCTAGCTTGTCTAAAAGCGTTCACAGGCAACCGATTTACTTAAGTTACGGGTTAAAATGAAGAGAAATCTTTGAAGATCTATTTGAAGATCTATTTGAAAACCGATTAAAGAAATATTGAGTTTGAAAGGTTTAGAATGTCAAAGCAAAAGCATGAGAAATTTTTCAAATCATTGCTAGCTTGATCTTGATTGAATATCTTGAATGATTTAGGAATTAACCGATGATTTAGGAATTAATTTGCATTCAAAGGCTCATAACTCTCTTTAAAATCAATATTTTTAAAAACAATTTCCCTATAAATAATCCTCAAACATTTCTCTTTATTTCGGCTCTTAACTTAAGTAAATCGGTTTCTTGTGAACGTTTTTAGATGAGCTGGAAGGGCAATAACTTAGGCAAAAATCAAAAAAAACTTCGTCATGAATGTGTTAAACATTCTTTCCAAGATTTGCAATCATTTCAAGATATTCAATCAAGAGACAAAAGCGCTAACAATGAGCTTTTCTCTTTTCATTTCATTTCTTAACGGCTTAAAGGCTTTCTTAACGGCTTTCTTAACGGCTATTTCAATGAGCTTTTCTCTATCATTTCATTTCTTAACGGCAAGTTTTTGCAAATTTAATTTACAAGAAAAATTTCCCATATAAAGATTTCATTTGTATTTCTCTATAATCAAATGAAATGTGTGTGGATTTCGGGGAGAAATATGAAAGGAAAAAATAGGATATTCAAAAGGGAAATGGTTGAAATGAATGGCCGATCCTAAAGGCCTAAAGGGGAAAGAAGAAAGAGAAAAGAGATCAGGAAAGGGAAGGGAAACGAATCGAATTATGCAAACACATTCATAAAACAAAAACCAACAAAAAAATATGGGGATTTTATATTTGGAAAGGATTTACTAGGGCTTTATTTTGAGGCTGAAAAGGGTCACAAATTTGATGTACAGTATTTTCTCTAATAGTAGTGTTGAGCCGAGTTGGTGACTATTTACAGCTTCCAAAGTTTTCCCAGAAGCTCAACACTCTAATCATTGTCAAGATCTCATCGTCAGCTACATTTTCCGACCCCACATCGATAGGTTCTGATAAGCGGTTCTCGAGATTTCGAGGAATTTAGGCGACGCTCAGGGTGCACTACTATTAAAGAAAATACGGTATTCGAATAGCTTTGAAATCCACAAACTTTGAAATTTGAATTTTGAAATCTATCTCAAGCTCGCTTTCCTAGAACATGTCAACTTTTAGAAGCTACTATCTAGCTACCATAAACTTCTTTATTACCATAATCTTCTTACCATAAGCTACCATAATCTTGTCTTTATTTGGGGGTAGTCAAAACAGCGCCATAATAGAAAACGTTCAAAATAGCGCCGTCAAATTTCTCACAGTCCAAAAAACCAAGCCGGTTCAAGTTTTATACCAAAAAATTCCTTGCGTTCTTGGCTACATGATGGGTGAAACAGTTTTCTAAAAAAAGTTAATATTTCATAGATAAAAAGAGCACTCAAAATGTGTGTCGAGTGATACTCAGTTGGTTAACTGAATATCTTTAGAGACCCATTTTGAGTGCTCTTTTCATCTGTGAAATATTAACTTTTTTTAGAAAACTGTTTCACCCATCATGTAGCCAAGAACGCAAGGAATTTTTTGGTATAAAACTTGAACCGGCTTGGTTTTTTGGATTTTGAGAAATTTGACGGCGCTGTTTTGAACGTTTTCTATTATGGCGCTGTTTTGACTACCCCCCTTTATTTTTATTTAATCTATTTACTTTTAGATTCACAAAAGATAGCCAAAAGATAAAAAATAGAATAAAAACTTAAAAACAAGATAATAGTACAATCAAAAAAATTGATATTTTAAAGAAATAAATGACAAATAAACAAACAAACATGACAAAATTCCAAAAAAAGATTCTCAAATCTCAGGAATGTTTGCAAAAACTCAAATGAATTGAAGAAGCCTTCAAATTTTGAGGAAAAATCTATGAGATGAAGTGCTTGGAGATTGACAAGAGACGGAGAAATAGAAATATTCTATTTTTTTGTCTCTTTTCTAAAAAGCTTTCCCCTTTTCCTTTTTGTTGGAGGTGAAAACAATGGTCGCTCATCGGGGCTCATCCCGAATTCTTGCACTCTTCCCATTCAACATCATCTCCACCTTTCCCCCAAAACCAACTGAACTATTAACCAGATGAAGCTGAAACTTCAAATAATATGATAATTTAAGTAGAAAAAAAACTCTAGAATAGAAGGGGAACACTTTATTTAAGTATTATCATCGTTATTACTTGTTTTAGCTATAAAAGGGATAAGAAATGAGACTTGCAAGTCATTTAATAGCTTTAATAGCTATAAATAGCTTTAATAGCTTTATAGCTCGCTATTTTATATCAAAAAGAAACTAAAATAAAAAGTGAAAACTTTTTGAAAGCATAGTTACTCAGTGAAGGTGAGGAAAAAAAAGGAGAAAAGGGGAAAGAGAATGGGTGAAATTATGACAATCGGTGAAGCATGAGAGAATTTGAAATGGATTGTGGAAAGGAGAAGAATGAAAGGGTGAAAGTGGGTGGTCCGGAAAAGTGATGACAGGAGATCATGGGAAGGGTTGGCAAAAAAGACACTGTCAAGCCAAGCCAGGCCAAACCAAGCCAAGCCAGGCAAAGCCAGGCCAAGCCAATCCAAACCAAGCCAAGCCAAGCCAAGCCAATCCAAACCAATCCAATCCAAACCAATCCAATCCAAACCAAGTCAAACCAATCCAATCCAAACCAATCCAATCCAAACCAAGCCAAGCCAAGCCAAACCAAAGCTGACTAGGGAATGTTGTCAAGCCAAGATCGAGCCCTAGCCCATCTCATAGACTTTTCATCGGGATTCTGAATCTGCTTTTAGTTTTTCTCGAACGCTTTTGTTTTGATATTTAGCATACAACTTTAGCCTTTTTTCAGCTTGTTTACAAGCTTTTCTCATCATTTCTGATAGCCTAGTGGTTAGTGTGGTCGTGTTCGAAACTTTTTTCCCCTGGTTCAAATCCCTTCACTGCCAACTTTTTTTTGCTTTTTTGTTTAATTATCAAAAACTATTTTTTTAGGGTTTTAAATAGATTTCCTACATTAATTAACTGGGAAAATGGCTTATTTTCGGGTAAGCCAAGTCGACACGAGTGAGTTTCAAAGTCAAGCCAGAGCTAATGGCCTTTAAAATGACTGGCATCAATTCCAGATAAAGGCCTACTGTTCCCTTATTGTTCAATTTGGACTAAACACTTTGACTTTATCTGGAATTTATGAGAAATTGAGTAAAAGTAATTGCCTTGAAAATTCAACTTTTTTACCAATCATTATGTTTTTTTTTTGTTTTTAAATAGGATTTGTTGATGGGTTCAGAATTGAGCTGAAATGGAAAGGAGCTGTAAAGCTGAAATGCGAGCCGAAATGGAAAGGAAAGTCGAATGCAAAGTGGAAAGGAGAAGAATGAAAGGTTGAAAGTGGTGAAAATGATGATGGAGAGATGATGGGATGAATCGGCGATGACCTTATCGTCGATGTTTTTCAAAAAAACCCAGATAGATTTCTTCAATGAACATGATACGAGCAAATTAGCCAAGTAAAACATTGTTCGCAATTTATTAAAGCTTTCCCTTACTATTCATATGTTTTCTAAAGTGTGGCCAATTTGGGAAAGTTAAATGAATAAAATGATTAAATGAATAATCCACTATAGAGACTGCGATAAGCATCTGGTTTTATCTGTTCAAATTGTTCAAATTTGTACTGTTTTTACCGTTTCCTTGACAATTTTTATCGTTTTTAAATTCTTGTTTTTGCTTATAAATTTAATTGGTTATTGGTTAACCAATAAATAAATTGGTTTTTGATTTACTAAAGAGAATAATAAGACTAAAAAAGTCAAGAAGATTAATCAAAAAAAGCGAAAGGGAATCGACCGCCGAGATCGAACCCAGCTTGCTCGTCTTGTAGCGTAGGAACTTACCACTCGGCCACCGAGCAACTTGTGACAGACGCTCACCTTTGCCCCATGAAGGCCCCCCCCCAAAGATTTCCGATTGAGGAAAGACTTTACAGATCAGGTCCGGCAGCTCAAATTGGGTATGATGATGCGGTTAAAGTTTAAAAAACCCATGATAACTCCATCTCCTTGTAAGTAAGACATTGTTCTACTTAATTTTGATCTAATTCGATTTACCGTTTAATTCCACATCAAACTAAATAAAAATGAAGTAAATTGGACAAGGTTTGAACGATTACAAGATTACAACAGTTTCCAATTGTCTACTTTTTGCAAAAACGCACGAGGAGAAAGAGAAGTATCTTTCTCTAGACCAGTATCCTTCTTATCTCTTCGAGAGAGAGAGAGAAGGCGCCGATAGCTCAATGGTAGAGCATCTATAGTTGTAAACAGAAGGTCGAGGATTTAATTCCCCTTAGGCTCTAAACTCTTTGCCATTCATTTAATCTTTAAGCTCTCTTCATTGCTTTCACTTTCTGGCCATTCATTTAATTTATTCATTTCCAGTATAGTTATTAAGCAAGAATTTGAATGGATTTTTCGAAATCTCGAACAAATTCCCTAATTTCTTTGTTGAATTGAGTCTCTTGATGATTTTTCGGTGTTCCTCTAGCTCTTTCATCGAATGTTTCTCGAGAATTTTCAGCTTTGTTTCCGGAGATATCACATAGCTAAACACTTTTTATTACTTATTTAAACACTTTATACTCTAATCTAGACTGAATACTCTAATCTGGACTAAATGCCGTAATCTAGCGATCCTAGACTGAATCTACTATTCTAGATTGAATACCGTAATCCCTACAGTCTAGTGAAGTGTTAAACTAACACTTCTTTATATCTTAATTTATATCTTATTCATACTTTTACCTAAAATTATATTTCCATTGATCAATTTGATGAATGCTTTGACAAGGGACAAGAAAAGATTCGATAATCAATGAATATTCCCATTCGGTTTCATATTTCCTGAAATAATTCATAAAATCATTGCTCTAGAAAGCTCTAGAAAGCTCTAGAAAATCATTGCTCTAGAAAGGCATTCATTTAGTTTCTTTGGGACAAATTATATTAGGGTGGTGCAAAAGAAACTGCCGATTTGACGGTAAATTCAAAAAAAAGATGGCGTTCGATGGTGAAATGATCACAATGGAATATTTTCGCAAGATCTCAAGCAGATTGGCATGGATTGGCATGGATCGGTCTGAATAACGTCCCTCGGCTTGGCTTCGTTCACGACTTCTGGCCTCGAACCGTGCTCGTAATCTCCCAAAGTCTCATCTCCCTCTCGGAATCGTTGAAACCAAGTCTGACACTGCTTGAGAGACAAACTGCCGTCTCCGAAAGCAGCACAGAGAGAACGATGCGATTCGGCAGTAGACAGCAGCAGACGGCAGCAGACAGCAGCCGACAGCAGCAGACAGCAGCAGACGGCAGCAGACAGCAGCAGACGGCAGCAGACGGCAGCAGACGGCAGCAGACGGTAGCAGACGGTAGCAGACGGTAGCAGACGGTAGCAGACGGTAGCAGACGGTAGCAGAATTTCCAATTTTGAAGTTAAACAGTAATGCTGCTCGTAGCACAAACTTTTGCTCGACCATGATCTAAATAAAAAAATAAAGCATTTTTAAATAAAATAAACAACAACCAAAAAATTTAAATGTCGAAATAAATATCAAATAAATATGCGAACAAAACATAAAAAAAATAATGCCGTTAGCATCGCTCGTTTCTGATAAATGAGAGCCGATACCCATCGGCAGTTTCTTTTGCACCACCCTAATATTATAAAAGAAGTTGTTGTCAAAACTATTCACCATTTCCTCCATCCACTCAACAGAAAATCATCTAGAGACCATTTATTATTGGTTAATGAGCCATTACGAATGAATCCTTGTTCCTAAACTTTTATATTATACTAAAGTATTATGAAATGTAATCAAATAGCACGAAAATCATCTCTACCTTTGCATAAACATAATACTCAGTCGATGTTGTCGCCCAAAAGATGAATTCTTGCATACAAGCTGTGTAGTCAAGTGCACTAGTTGAATTTATGAAAAGAAATCGATTAATCGATTAATCGACCTTTTTTAGTAAACTCTTTTCCTCTTGAGTAAGTAAATAAAGTCATAAAGTAAAGTAATAAAGTAAATAATAAATTTGCTTACCGTAAATATTGTAATAGTACCCCGCCGCCCTCGTACAGTCGCGTAGTCGCAAAAGTTTTTTAGTATTTTGTTAATCAAAGCTTTTTTCAAAGTGCCCGTACTTTCAAAAAATGCGTCTTTGGTATCAAAAAATAGCCCTGAATTTCAGCTATTTTTTAATACCTAAGCGAGCATTGTAGCATAAACCAGTGTCGAGAAAAACTCGTCCAAAGCTAGACTACACAACACTCCGCACCGTCATTATGGAGGTGGAGTATTATTACAGTATTTACGGTAGGTGTTTCAATTCCTCAAAAAATTACTTCAATTTTTGTGCTTTCATTAAAAATCCGCCCTCGTACAGTCGCGTAGTCGCAAAAGTTTTTTAGTCTTTTTTTCGAAGCGCCCGTACTTTCAAAAAATACGTCTTCGGTATCAAAAAATAGCCCTAAATTCCAGCTATTTTTTGATACCTAAGCGCGCACTGTAGCATAAACCAGTGTCGAGAAAGACTCGTTCAAAGATAGACTACACAACACTCCGCACCGTCATTATGGGGGCGGGGTCCAATTACAGTATTTACGGTAAGTAATTTTTTACTTAGCGTCAAAAGCGCTTTTTTCAATTCTTCAATTGTTTTATTACTTTTCTATTCTTTTAAAAGCTAATAATTTTAGTAACTGTGAACTAAAACCCTTCAAATCGATCTAGTAAAGAACAAAGAATTTCTACGGCAAAGAATTGAACTCGAGTGGAGTTGAACTTGCCGTCTAACGGCTGATCGATTTTGGATACTAACGCGCAAGCCACTTGGCCAGCCGTTGAACTAGTCCGTCCCCTTTAAAACGCGTTTTAGAGCGATTATTCGAAAAGAACACACTCTACTTCTTACCGTCCAGTTTTCAGAATTCTTTCACAAATCAATTGATTGGATCTCATTTCTGGATGAAAAAATGACGAGATGACGTTCTAAAATGACAATGAATCAGCTGGATGTTCTACTTTTGCTTGAAAATAGAAACGCGTGCTTTCTGGTGCAATGTTCCTTCAATAAAGAAGGAGTTGGCGCTAGAAGTGCGCTAGAAGGGGGTTTTGAATCTTTTAAGCTCAAAGTAAGCATAAAGAACATGTCTATGCCAATAGATTTCAATCTTTTAATAAGTTTGACTTTGATTTGGGTTTAGTTTAGCCGAACGTTCAACTCACTGGAAGTGCTAGGTCGACAAAGGGGAAATCTGGGCGTTTTAATTGAAAATCGGCCCAGTTTCTTAGGAAATTGATGGATCGAGGGGAATTCCTGAAAATGATACAGTATGATACAGTAATCCTTTCTAAATACCGTACTTTGCGAGAAAACTTTGATTTGAAATCGGATTTTGATCAGATTCGGAATAGAAAACGAGGTGAACATCTTGATTTGGGATGAGAGATTCGAGACGATACAAAGGATTGATAACACCTGAAAGACTGGAGTTAAAATGTGGCTGAAATAGAGCTAAAAGAGAGCTAAAATGGAGTTAATGCTTTTGAAATAGCGTACCGATATCAGCACCAATATATAAAACCCATTCAAATGTAAATGCTTCGAGGAAATTGGCGATAATGCAAGGGATTTGAAAGGGTTTCTGAAAGAAAAGGATTTTGTTTTAAAGCTTTCGGATTGTTTATAACGCTGCCACAAAGGGCTGATTCAACTGCCCCTTTAGTCTAGCGGATAGTGTGTTCGTCTACAGATCTTATGAAGAGTTCTTTGGCTTGAGTTCGGATCCTCCCCTAGCCAAATTTTTTTTGACCAAATATTTATGTTTTATCCATTATTTTACAGCTTTTACAGCTTCTACAGCTTCTAAAGACAATTGTTTATAAAATCTTTTTTCACCAGCCTCTCTTTGCAGACAAAACAAAGCCGATATTGAGGGAATGAGTGGATCGAAGAGTTCAAAGTGATACCCATGCACTCCAGCATAGCAAATGACGGTTGAGCGCTGAAATAGTGCAAATTAAGTGCATCAGAATGGGTGTGTTTGCATTTTTGAGCACAAAAAGTATAAGGTTTTAGAGGATATACAGTACTGGACAAAAATATATCAAGCTCCGGATTTTTCTCAAACCTTGAAGCTTAATAACTCAAGAACTATACATCGGAGTCTATAAGTGTTACAGTGATTCAGAAAGCTTGAAATGATATCTATAAGTTGGCATACTTAATTTTCCGATTAGCTTTAATTTTTGACTGATTTCAGGGCACGCAAAGTAGGGTGTCAAAAATTCGCTTTTGTTGGAGAGCATGATATATTTTTGCTCAGTTTACTTCAAAAAAAAAAACCGAAAGCTACAAGTCAGTTCTTTATTTTCCATTCTTATTTCTATTTCCTAAGCAAAACTTGAGCTTTAACTCACAGCTAAATCAAATTCCTGATCATTTCTCTTCTCATAATCGTTGATGAATAAAATGGCGATTGTGTTTCGATCGATTGTCGGCTGCTTTTTCTCATCAAAACTTTCTAAACAATTATCTGATGCAAAAATAAATGAAAATTTGACTGTATCAGTCAATTTTTAAACCTTTGCCACTCGAGCACTTTGTTGTAATCAACTTTTTCGGTCTTTCAATCGACTCGTGCTCTTCGGTTTCATCGTAGAGAAACACCAGGAAAATGAGAGAAATGAGTAAAACAAGGCACAACCAGAAGATTTGCCTCATCCAAATGTCATGCTAGATTGTGAAATTAAAAAAGAAATATCGTTATAAAGCTATTGTTCAAATTTTGAAGAGAAAATGACAAATAGAAAGTAAAAAAAAATCCCGCAAAATTGAATGGCAAGGCTGAAAAATTGATTTTGCAAAATTTTGAGGTCATTACGATGGGATTAGTGGTGACAGTGACAAAGCTGGGTGCAATTCGGTGAAAAAATGGAATTGAGTGGCTACTTTTTAGTTGTTTTGAGTACAGAAAACACATTTTCATCGATTACTTTTAATTAGTTTTATCGAATGTGGAAATATTGGCTTGTCTTGGGGATTTCTTGTCTTACAAGGGAACCTTCTTTTTTTTGATAAACATTTAAAAATTCGTTTTTGGTTATTAGAAATTTATATAATGTTATTTAATGATTGAAAATTTATTCAAATTTGAGAAATACTGGAGCTTTAATAGCTTATTAAAGCTATTAAAGCTATACAATAGCTTTAATAAAGCTTTAACTAATATTATTGCACCCGTTTTCTTCACAATCGCGCATATTTTTGTCCTGTTAGTTTTTGTCCGTCGGAGTCCATTTTCTAGAAATTCAAACGGCTACAACTTTGTGCGTTTTGCCGATTAGCGGCTTTTGAAAACAGTTTCTGAACGTACATTTTCAGTCCTTTCTATTGGTACCTACCTCATAATGTAACTCGCGGGTAACTTGGGAAGGTTCCCTTGTTAAAGATTGCTTGCTTAGAGATTGCTTGTCTTTGTTAGTTTTCTTGTGGTCCAATGAATATTTTTGAATGTTAAGAACCAGTATTGAGGTCGCTAAAAAGTAAATTTTATTTTAATGATAATTTTGACTGAAAAAAAACGGCTAGAGAATGAAGAAGTTTGCCAGGAAAAGTGGGGAAATTTTGTAGTAATAGAATGAAGAATTGAGTGAGCTAGAAAGGATTCGTTTTGAATTTTGCCATCACCGGTTGGAAGTCCTTGTAAGTCTAAAGTGTTGTAAGTCTTTGCTCTTTTGGAAGCCATTGATTTGTTCTTTGCACTGTTTTTTCAATTCAATTTTATTCATCAAAGAAAAATGAGGTTCAAGAGTCAAAAATTGCACATCGTAAATCGTTTTTCAAAGAAAATAATTCAAGGAATTCAAGGGATTCAATGATTTGAAGGATTTGAAGAAAGCAAATACTTTCATTAGTCAATAAACAAACTTTGAGACAACCATTAACAGGGAAAACTTTGGCAGTTCACAAAATTAAAAAAATAAAGCTTTTTGTGAGGATCATTGAAAGATTTGTAGGATATTTTGAAAGGAATTACTGTCAAGACTGTAGCTATCAATGCACTACAAGCATTCACAGTTCTCAGCAATCGCTCTTGGGAATAAACGAATGACAAGATTTCCCTGATCATCTAAAAACATTAAGATCAATGGAGAGAGACGAGATGGAGCACAGCAAATTGAGGAGCGCATTGAGGAGAGGGAAGAGAGAAGAGTGGCACGGGGAGACCAGCGCTGGAAAGTCTTTTGTTAACACCTTCACGACTATCCAACGACGATGGACGACAATCCAACGACGATCCAACGACAACCCATCGATGGACCGTATTAATTATATTATTTTTTGGTGTCAACTCAAAGTTTTAAGGACTTAGAAGGACTGTTATTCATTTCATAGAAATGTCTTGTTAACTTTGTAATAGTTTTCAAGAAGAGATTCAAGGCTATCGAATGAGTACTGTATTTCTTCGAATAGAAGACCGGGTAAAGAGTATGATCGCGTACTCCTGCGTAGCAGCTCTTTTTAAAATTTTTTTCTGCATAAAAGCTTTCAATCAAGTGCTATAGAGCTGGAAAATGACTCAAAAATCTGTTAGCTCATGTCGTATTTTTGAGTCATTTTCCAGCTCTATAGCACTTCATTGAAAGCTTTTATGCAGATAAGAAATTTAAAAAGGGCTGCTACGCAGGAGTACGCGATGATCCTCTTTACCCGGTCTTCTATTCGAAGAAATACGGTATACAGGGTGACCAAGAATTACCGCAACACACAAAAGGCCTGACTTTTAACCAAATATGCAAGCCATCTCGAAAAGTTAACTTAAATATCTTTATTCAACATATAACAGTAACAAATTAACAATTGAATTCAAATTTGCCTCCATCTTCATTCAGACAGGCCATCCAAATTGCAAACGTTTGGGAAACGCGTTGACCGTGGCGAGCAAATAGGCATCATCTTTGCAGCATCTTTGCAGGGTAGCCCATGCTTTGATGAGCGCCTTCTTCAAACTTTCGAGATTTTTATTTGGTTTTGCATATGCTCTGGCTTCAAGAACACTTCAAGAACTCCAGACTGAGTAATCCAATGGGTTAAGATCGGGTGAGCGGGGTGGCCACTCAGAAAACGAGGTGAAGTCCGGGAAGTCCGAGAATCACTTGCCCTTCGCAGCAGCTGATAGTAATTGAGATTTGTTCTTCTTGTACGGCTTCATTTTCAGCTTTTTCTTGATGATTGTGTTGACGGAGCTTCTCTTCAGACCCATTTTCTGTGTCATTCCTCGAGCCGATTGGTTAGGGTTTAATCTTAGACGATCGCGCACTTTGACATCAGCCAGACATATTGACATTAGCCGGAGTAACCGCTGTTCGTTTTGCACCTCTTCCAGGTCGACCAGAAACTGTGCCCAGAGTTTCATAACGTTGAATGGTTCGAGAAACGAGGCTGCTGGGGACATTCAGGCGCTTTGAGAGCTCGCTTTGAGAGCTTTCAGAGCCTGAATCTCGCTTTGAGATCTCGCTCACCTGCCGCTTGAGCTGAAGGATCGATTGTCGATGTGGAGACGCTTTCACCATTCCTGAAAACAATCATACTTGAATTATTGAAGTATTGAAAGTTTGTAATCATATCATAAAATAAGAAAAATACACAAAAACCATAAAAACAGGTAAGCAAAAAGTGAAATGGGGCTCATAACATAATACGACGTTGTTGCGGTAGTTCTTGATCACCCTGTAATACTATAAATCCTCTATTAGAGCGGCACTCAAAAGGGATATTAGAAAATAGAGCGGTATACCGTAAAGTTGAGCAAATTTGATGATTTTTGTATCAAAATGTTCGTGAGAGTCTCTAGAATAAAAATTATCCCCTCGTTTTTTGTTCTAGACCCTGATTGTCGAGTTACGAGCTCCAAACTGCAGGGTACCACAAAATTTCCCATACAAAATGACCAAAAAAAAAGCGCTAAAACTCAATTTTAAAAATTTCTGTCAAGGGGATTTGAAAAATTCCTTCAGATTCGGAATCAGCACAATTTTCCGCATCTAAAAAAGGTACTCCCGGAAAAATTCGATAGAAAACGCATTTTTGCCTTATTTCACGCCGATGCGCACATCGAAAAATTAACATTACCTAGATTTCAAAACTTTCAATTGAATGACTGAATATCTTTTGTTTTGATTGTTTTGATTTTAATTGTTTGACTTTTTTCTGATTCTGTTTGTAACCTTTGTCGGTTGATCACACGATCCATTGCACTGCGAGAGATCAATGTGTGGAGGAGCGAGCACAACGTGATCCAAGCCCAAAGACGCGGTCGAGATCAATCGACGAGACAATCCACAACCCTGAAAGGCTTATTTTTGAAATTGGTAACAGGCTCATTATGCAACACTGAGTTGTCATTTTTCTGTACTTTATCCAATTTTGCATTTTGCCTTCAACTCACCCCTTCTTTCTTGAGAAGCACTAGTTCTTGTTGTTCTTGTTGTTCAATATCATCTTCAACTTCCTCACTGTCACTCGATTCTTCATCAACTTCATCTCCAAATCCATACCACGGATCTTTCTTCTGCTTTTCCGCGATTTGCTGAGCTTTAGTCAACTAAAGAACCTTTTGCTTTGTTTAGGAATCAAGTTAAGAATTAGTTCAAGTTAAGAATATTGTCAGACTTTTTTACAATCATTTTTTTGAGTTCCTCTTTATTTTTGATTGTTTTTGATTGCTTTTCAAAGATCTCTGATCAAAAACGGATAACTGATAGATAGATAGATCAAAAGATTTGAAGTTAAATCACCCTGAGCCTTTTCTTTTGACAACTAATCACTGAAATCGATTACAAGTCTTACAATCCTACAAATCCTGAAAATTATAGCAAAACCTCTAACTTGTGCTGTCCAGAAGTGTTAGTTAAAAACACAGTTAAACCGAGAAAACAATTCGATCTGACTTTTGCGCATTGTGTCTTGATTTTCTTACGATTTATTAGTCTAAACATCTTATTTAGTATCAATCACTGGTATTTTACTGGATATTTTAAAGCATAAGCATTCATTTAACCCCAAAAACCCTTTTGAATCGAATTGAATTCTTTTTGAGTCAAAAAACCCATGAGTACTCTTTTCCCCAGCCCACCTTTCTCAGCGTGGCTCTCATTTTCGGTTGTTGTTGCTCGTTGTACTTGAAGTATTCTAAAAGCTTTGTAATAGATTGTAATAGAAGCTAAAAATGAATACCATTGTTCCTTTTTGCTCGAAGAATTCGATTCTCTGTGGTGAATTTGTGCTTTGTTTGAAGGTGGTTTGTTTGGATTTTTCTCTGATCTTTCTCTGATTTTCTTGTTTTCTGGAGATCTTTTACCGGTTCACCCTAAACAATTCTTCACTTTTAAAAGATTTCAAATTTGATTTAAAAAACAAATACCGTATTCTCTCTAATAGTAGTGTGCACTACTATTTTTTGAACCCCCTCCTGGACCACAATACTATTAGAGAGTGCACTACTACTAAAGAGTGCACTATTATTAGAGAGAATACGGTAATAGATTTAAATTTTGTACTTCTGTAAAAACCAAGAGAAACGGTGGATTTCTTTTGACCAACTCGCGCGCCGTTCGCATTTTGATGTCCTTTCGCCACATCTGAACAATTTTAGGTACTGTAGGGTATTGTAGAAGGATATTTTAGGGTGCTGTAGAAGGATACTGTAGAAAAGGGTACTGTAGCAGGGATACTGTAGCCAAGGGTACTTTAAGAATGCTGTAGAGAAGGATACTGTAGCCAAGGGTACTTTAAGAATACTATAGAAAAGGATACTGTAGCCAGGGGTACTTTAAGAATGCTGTAGAGAAGGATACTGTAGCCAAGGGTACTTTAAGAATACTATAGAAAAGGATACTGTAGCCAGGGGTACTTAAGAAGCTGTAGAGAAGGAACGTAGCCAGGGGTACTAAGAATGCTGTAGAGAAGGAACGTAGCCAGGGGTACAAGGCTGTAGAGAAGGATACTGAGCCAGGGGACAGGCGTAGGAAGGATACGAGCCAAGGGCTAAGGCGAGAGAAGGATACTGTAGAGGGGTACTTTAGGCTGTAGAGAGGACGGCCAGGGGACAAGTGCTGTGGAAGGATACTGTAGCCAGGGGTACTTTGATGCTGTGAGAAGGATACTGTAGCCAAGGGTACTTTAAGAATGCTGTAGAGAAGGATACTGTAGCCAGGGGTACTTTAAGAATGCTGTAGAGAAGGATACTGTAGCCAAGGGTACTTTAAGAATACTATAGAAAAGGATACTATAACAAGTGCTAATAGTCAGCTTTTTATAGTCTTTTTAATAGCCGTAAAGCGATAACAATATCCAAATTACAGTTTTCGTTACCGTAATCGCAATCGAGCTTCCGTTGAGTGAGTGAAGTTGGGCAAAGGGAAGAGTCGCGTCCATGACTGCCGTTGTGCGCGTGGCCTCGATGTGCTAAAATTGAGAGTGAAAGGATTGTTTGGAAAAGTTTTCAAAACTATCTTCTTTGATTTCTACAATAGTTACCGTTAACAGATAAGGTCCTCGACAAAAATGGTGAGTACAAGCGACCGAGGCTCTCACCGACTTCGATCTTCTCCGAGAGCCATGTCGACCCGCTTGGGGCATATGGAAATGCAATTCAACTCGCATGATCTAAAAGTTGGTTTAAAGTTGATTGGGTTAAAAAGTTCTTTAGATATTCTTTAGATATTCTTTAGATTTTCTTTAGATTTTCTTTAAATTTGCCTTAGATTGTTAAAAATCAATTCAAAATCAATCAAAATCAATCGTTGATATGTTAAAAATCAATTCCTAAACCTTTTCATCTGGTGAAACGACGGAAACATCGTAGAGAAGCGCTTCGTTTCCATTGGCTTTTCCTGAAATTAAACTCTAGCTTCTATTGATAAAAAATATTATATAGATATTTTCTAGTACATTAAATAGATATTCTAGTACATTTTCAATGAAATTATGTTAGTTTTTGGCTTCAGGCTTCAATTTTTGATAACTAGAAGTTTTCAAAGCCTTTACATTTCAATTTGCATTTACAAAACCTTCCTTATTATCCTTATTATTCCTTTCAAAGCCTCTGGATCTCTTTACAGATCAATTTTTATTGACTTACGGTACAATCCTAAGCATTACGATCCATTAAATTGAATATTTCAATTTGCATTAACAAAACCTTCCTTATTATCCTTATTATTCCTTATTTTCTTCATTCAAAAGCTCTTTCAATCACTGAGATGAGAAATAATGGAAAACATTTCCCCGATTTTCTTTTCCTCATCCACAAGATGATAATGTAAGGATGATAATGTAAAGATGATAATGTAAAGATGATAATGTAAAGATGATAATGCTGGTCATAAACATTTCTCAGTGAAATCTCGATATACTTCCTTCTAAATGAGACAGAAAAGTGTGTTTGTGTCATCTCTTTGTCATCTGTTTGTGTCGGAACAATATTTCCCTCTAAAAGAGATAAGAACAACATTTCCCTCCAAAAGAGACAACTCGTTTCGGTCATTTTCCTTTTTCCATTGACAGCTGTCCATCGTGTAATGGTGTGTGTAGTTGGCCGAAATCTTTTCAGCTTTCCCCCCATTTTGATTCCCCAATCATTTAGAGGTGAACAGGTGAATTTCGGGTGAAGTTTTGTTTAGCTTAAGACATAGTATTTCTATAAAAATCGTATCAAAAGTCTAGCGGTAAAGAAATTGTTAAAATTGGTAGCTTTTTCTCAATTTTCCTTAGTACTTTTAACAATTTCTTTGCTGTTAAACTTTTGAGAACATTTTTATAGAAGTATATAAATCTTAAACCAAAGCAAAAGCCAAATCAGACTTAAGCAAAACAAATCAAAAAGCCAAATATCAAACAAATCAAAATTTTAATTGATTGATTGATCTTCTCTTGGAATCTCAACCTTATCTTTGGATTAGCCGACTAGGAAAACTTTGGCTTTACTTTCTTGGCTGGGAATTTAGGGAAAATTAAGCAAAAGAAATAACTGGCTTAGCTCAGCCTTAGCTTGCTTGAGCTCATTGATACAAGCCAAAAAGCAATGCTAGAACTGACCAATTCTCGGCAAGAGTGCTCTCACAATATTCCCATCCGGATATTCGTCGGCTTGTTGAAGATCCTCGAAAACGGCCTCGATACGTCGCGATAGATATGACGGAATTCGTGACATCATTGTTAAAGCTTTTTCTGGAAAATGATTATGAATGGCTTAGCAAAGAATTTAATGGCTTAACAAAGACTTTAATGGCTAAACAAAGTACTTAATGGCTAAACAAAGACTTCAATGGCTAAACAAAGACTTTAATGGCTTAACAAAGACTTTAATGGCTTAACAAAGAGTTTAATCGCTTAACAAAGAGTTTAATCGCTTAACAAAGCCTTTAATGGCTTAACAAAGATTGATATAACCAGGGATAGGCTAACCCTTATGGCTTTATGGCTAGCTTAAACTCGGGGAAATATTTTCCCGAGTTTAAGATCTGGATTGAATCTCTTAGGCTTGTCAATGAAAGAAGCTATTCATATGATTACAGTGTACACCATAAAATCTCTAGAACTCTAGCTAGCCTTAAACCTGTTTAAATCTAAAGCCAATGATGAACCTCTTTCCGGAATCGTTTCATATCCGAGTACTTTAGTGAGAGTCTTTGATAGGATTTCCTTTTCCTCATCCACGAGATCATAATGCAAAGAATAGACATTTAAAAATGTGCAGGCTAAGGCCAAAATGGCCCTAAACCATCTCATTTTCAAGAAATTGACAGATTGTGATTCTCTGAAACTTTGATTGATTTAAAAAAGCAAAAAAATGATGAGAAAGATGAGAAAACATTAAAGAAAAAGTTTTGCAAATAAAATTCTAATGGAATCAATATTCCTAGATTAGTACATTCCCATCAAATCAGTCTCATTCATGGAGAGCCCATAATTTAGCCCATAACGCAACAAGCTCTCTTTACCCCCCTTTTCCCCACTTTTTTTTCGTTATTTGTGTGAGAGGCCGTTATCAGATCGGAATCGGCAAAAAAAATGGCAAAACCGCCTCTTCATGGGTCATCAATGGGTCACTCACAAATGAGAAATGAGAGGAGAAAGTGTAGGAGTTCCTGGCTTTTCTCGATAATCTTTTAGTTCTGAATCGATAATATTCTATAATATCGATAATCTTCTATTTTCAGAAACTCAAATGAAACATTGAAAATAAAACATGGAATTCTTCTAAGCAAGAACTTTAGATAAGAACTTCTTTTGATTTGATTGGATGATTGGAAGTCAAAGAAATAAAGCATGGAAGCCAATTTGATCAAATTCTATCTTGTTTTATTTTTATTCTATTTGATCAAATCTTGTTCTTGAAATCAAGTGAAGTCTTTTTTTTATTATTTTTAAATAAATGAATAGGTTTACAAGATTAAAAGTGAAAAATAAGAAGTAGTTGTTTTAACTTTTGTTCTCTAAACGTTAGAAGTTAAGTTCTCTAAAAAGTTCTCTAAAGAGTTCTCTAAAGAATTCTCTAAAGAGTTCTCTAAAGAGTTCTCTAAAGAATTCTCTAAAAAGCTCTCTAAAAAGCTCTCTAAAAAGCTCTCTAAAGAGTTCTCTAAAGAATTCTCTAAAGAATTCTCTAAAGAATTCTCTAACGAATTCTCTAAAGAAGCTGAAAAACAATCTAGCTCCAATCCAAAGTTGGCTAAAATCAATCTTTAATTCAAACTCATCAAGAAGTTTCATTCTTTTCCAATCTTAACTTTAGAATGCAAATGAAAACAGGTGAAGCGTGAAAGGCAAAATCGGAAAGGATTAAGGTGTTCTGGGAGTAAATGAATGGTCAATCTGTGTGTGGAGATGAAGTGGATGTTCTCGGATTTCCCTGTCAATTTCAGGAGAGAAAAAGGAGGCAAGGTCAAGTAGATTTCATATAAAATGAAAGCATTTTGACCATAAAGTGTTCCTAGTTTTATTTTAGTTTATTAAGAAAGACAAAACAATTCATAAGAAAGATAAAAAATCTTATTTCCACTGGCATATTTCTTAAAAATTGGCAAACCATAGAACCCTTTGGGATAAGGTATGAAAATGGGATTCGAGAAAGGATTCTTTTTGAGTAAAAAGAAAGAATCACATTTAGATGAGCTGGAAAAGAGGATTTACCAGAGGATGCCAGAAGGATGCCAGAATGATGCCAGAGGATGCCAGAGGATGCCAGAAGATGCTTTTTTGAAGTGATTTGTACTCTCTGAGACTTCAAAAAAGCATCAATAAATAAAAACCAGCGAATTAGTCCTTCATTTCTTTCAAGAATGTCATTGAAATCGATTCAAGCAATTTGCTGAATAATTTAAAGAAAACGGGCTAAAGGAGTGCAAAGAGAGATGAGATAACAATTGAAACTAACGCACAGCTTCGTGGAAACGCACAGCTTCGTGGAAACGCACAGCTTCGTGGAAACGCACAGCTTCGTGGAAACGCACAGCTTCTTGTGCACTAGCTGGGACATGGTTTTTAAAACGTATCAACTTTCAAAGCTAATCTTGACTTTAGTTTATCCAATCTAGCCAACCCCCCCGAAACGCGGGTTTTTGTGGCTGAATATCTTGTGGATGCTCTAGGTCATCATGGCGCAGTTGGGAGCGCGCTTGTCTCCAACTCACGCGATCGGGGTTCGACGCCCTGCAGTGCCGCTCAGTTTCTGTTTTTTAATATTTTTATTTTAAATAACATAACTATCTACATTCTAAGGCTTTCTAAAGAAGTTTTAGCTTTATTGTTCAAAACAAGGACGAGAAAAAGCTCGTACAGACGGATAGACGGGCAGACGGATAGACAGACAGACGGATAGACAGACAGACGGACAAACAGACCGACAAACAGACGGACAGACAGACGGACAGACACTGTTATATATATATATATATATATAGTAGATCATTTCGTCTAATTTGAAAGATAGATATTGAATAAAAATAGGCAAGTTTACGGTAGTTCGTCAAAACTTTGGAAATCTTAGAAAACTTGGAAGCAAATTGATATATTGGATAAATTAACGACAAGGTTACGATAGGGTTTCGATTTGAAACATTTTAGAAAACGGATTACTTGAAATTACTTGAAAGGAAAGCATTCGTGTATTGCTAACTATAGCTGCTTGACTATGCTAACTATAGCTAGACTTTGAAGCCAGTCAAGCAATGTCACATAGCAGATTCCTCATCTTTTCCCCCTTCTCACAATCGTTTCCTCATTTATCACCAAAAGATGACAACGTCCGCCTATCTTTTTTCTTTCTCAAGAAGCGTTCTGAAGTCCCTATAGTCGTCAGGGGACAAATTTTCCTTCATTTTATCTTTTCCCGGGAAATTTTGACGACCATAAATAAGCAAAAAGCTGTGCCAAGGTTTTAGGAATTGATGGAATGGAAAGATTATCGAAGATTTGCCCAGCAATCTAACTTTTAGCTTAAATTTCTTAGTGTTTAGCTGTCTAATTTAGATATTTTTATTATCATTAGATGCGGCAAGTCTTTCTCTATCGATTGGGACAAAAACTCTTTAAATTGACGAGCCCAACACCAAGAAATTTGAGTTTAAAGTTGGACTGCCAATGCCAATTGCCAATGGCAATGGCGCGTCTCAAATGTCGAAAAATCGTATGAAAATGCCACAAATAGTCTCATCTACAAGTACAAAATTGATTTGATATCTAGTGAATCTTATGGAGTTGAACAAATTGATTCTTAATATGTTAAAGATAAGAAAATTGAAAGATACCGAATTCTCTCTAATAATAGTGCACTCTTTAACAGTAGTGCACTCTCTAATAGTATTGCGGTCCGAGAGGGGGTTGAAAAAATAGTAGTGCACCCACGAAAATTTGAATTTCTGTTTGCTTCTTTTTCATCTAAACCTTTTTGACTTTATGTGACATTCTAAAGCTATTCTAAAGCTACCGTTTATGTGACATTCTAAAGCTATTCAAGCAAGCAAAAGTGAGGCTTTTTTTTATTCATTTATTAACTATTCTTCACATGAAAAAGTTAGCAAAAAATCTAAAAAATCTAAAATTGTTGTGCAAAGGGCAAAAACATCTTTTTGTTGTTTGTCAACACACAATTGTCAACAATTGTCAACCCGCCAGCCCACAACTGTATGTCAAAAGGAGCCAAAGGAGTACGTGAAAGAGTTGCAAGAATTTTTGGAACAAATCTTATATCTGTCTTACTTTGATAAATGATAAAACTCTTTAATAGTAGTGCACTCTCTAATAATATTGCGGTCCAGGAGGGGGTTCAAAAAAATAGTAGTGCGCACTACTATTAGAGAGAATACGGTATTTGATTAACAAGTTTATGAGAGTGAAAAAAGAAATGGCTTTTGAAGGTAGAAAAAGATGACTCTGAACAGTTGAAAACATTGATTCTTAATTCTTAATATGTTAAAGATAGTAAAATAGATATTTCAAACGAAAAAGTGATAAAATTGCATTAAATAGTCAAAATTTAAATTCTAATTTCATTTTAATTGGCAAGTTAACATCTTTAGCTAAATCTCATCCAGAGAAAATGGTTCTTTCAAGAAAACGATTCTTTCTTTTGGACGCAAGCTTGCTTTCTACAATCTTTACCATATCATTGTACTTAGAAATTTTGATTGAAGCAAAAAAAAAGATGGAAGCTACACCTCTAAAACAGACCGTACAGTTTAGAAAAGGCGGTAAATGGGGGCGAAAGAGCACCTGAAGGGGATGGGGCAATCATTTATGCTGTGTTTTGGGTGAGAGTCACGGTGTAATTATGGACTGTGGAGAAGAAAGGATTGCAATTAGCTCTCTTTTCCTCTACCTGTCCCATCTTTCATCTTTATTTTCATCAAGGAGTCGCCGTTTATCTACTCTCATCAAAAATGTCTTTATTTGGGGAGAAAAGACGGGTGCGGGATAGTTGGGAGAACAATGAGGATTTCGAGTCGCCTGGATAAGTACGGTAGACTTTTTGATCATCTAGACACTACAGTACTCTGAAATCTGATTGATTCAGAGTCAGCTCAAAGCTTCGGGGTATTATGATGGTTACCAGTCGAAACGCTCGTCTAAGTCGTCTAAGAGCGGGTTTTTCTGGTCAGATCTCTGCACATAGAGCAGTCGGGAGCGCGCTTGTCTACGGAACCGGAACCGACCCACGCGAGCCGAGTTCGACCCTTCCTAGTGCCACTAGATCTTGGCAAGGACAGCCACTGACCTTTTTATATATAGTAGGTTGGAGGATAGCACCATGAAATTTTCTTGTTGATAAAAGTCATTGAGTAACTGGAGATCAGAGTTTAGAGTAATTGCAGCTAATTAAAAGATGACTTTTGACTTCCCCAACCCTTGAGTCTTCAGAAAACCAATTAACATACGGTAAGAAAAGAATATCAAAGCAATAAATGCAAAAAAAGAGCTTCAGAAGTTAACTGCTGCATAAAGATAGCTGGAAAATTGAGCTATGCTAGAGATATTCAGTGATAGAATGGCTCTGATCAGTTGCTATGATTTTTTTTCTCAGTTTCTTTAACTATAAACAATGGTTAAAAGTATTGAGAACTAATTAAAGCTAAAGATTAAGCCATCAAAACATTTGCTGGACTAAAAAAGTCAACAATTCTAGGCATTTTATTTTTAAAAACGAATCCAAAACCAGATTGGAATGATAAGGATCTCAAATCTCACACCGGAAACGCCTATTTGCATGTGGGTAGAGGATCTAAACGGAAAGAGACATTCAATCGGATATAAGAGAAGGATGTCCTTGGAGTCATTGACATTGGAATAACATTGACACCTGTTGCAATAACCCGGGAAAGCACCCAGGGACACGGGGGAAACGATGGATGGGAGAGAGTGGGGAAAGGGGGGATTGAGTGGATTGAGTGGAGATCAAAGTGGGGGGGATACTGAGATGGAATGGACTCGGCTGAATGGACACAAGCTTGTCCCCGATGGCCATTCCCATCGATCATTGTATCATCAGTTCCACAATTTTGTCTCTAAAACAAATCTTTAAGTCCTGACTTTTTGCGATGAAATCAATAGAGTTGACTAAAGGCAAAACTGCAGAAATGGTCTAGAATTGAACTAAGAACTTTTATCTCAATCAATAGATAGTTTGTAAACAAGAAAAGAATATAAAATTTTTCTTTTTCGTAGTGAAAATGGAAGCATACCCTTTCTGATACATCAACTTGTTCATTGTATTCATGTGGCGTTTACCGTAAATTAATAAGCGCTACAGTATCCATTGGTATCATACATTAGATAGAGAACATTCTATAAGAGATAGAACATTCTATAAAGCAGTCAGACCTACAATAGATTTGAGCGAGTTAGCGGAAGGACTGACTAGAGAACGTTGCAGGTGCTAGCCAACTAGCGACGTGGTGGTGTATTCCCAAAGCTCTCAACTACGAGTCAAAAGCACTCTGGTTCGATCCCCTTCTCAACCAATGGCCTGGCCGAGGAGGGGATCGAACCAGGGTGCTTTGGAGCCATAGTCGACAACTTTGGACCTATAGTCGACAACTTTGGCGATGCACCACGACGCTAATTGGCCTCGTTGCGAAAAATGAACTCAAATAAGGAGGCCTAAAGCTTGTAATTCCGATATATTACAGGTCTCAAGGACAAAAAATGAAAACGGATTCGGAATCAGCGTAGTCGATTCTATAAAATGGAGTTGATCACGCGCTAGTGAGGCACTCTTTAGAGCAATCAGCTTTCAGAAAAGTTTGCAAGTATTTAGAGAAGCAATTTTAACGTTTAGAACAAACGGTTCACTTCATCAGTTGTGTGTACCAAAAAGTGTGGGTTTTATAAAGTGTTCCAGGTCCAATCCAGCCCAATTATTAACGATTACTGAATTATTTATGATGGTGATTGTTCATAACTCGGAAGGGTTTAAGCGTTGAAATGTTTCCAATTCTTATATAATTTTTAAATTCAGCTTAGCTTTGAAAAAGCAAACTTTTGCGCAATTTGTTCAGCTTCGTAGTGTAAAAAGACTCAAATCAGTTATTCAGGCAGAAGGAAGAAAGTTGCGGGTTTCAAAAAAACGAAACCAACTCTACTTGGAAGGATTTTCTTTTTTTTAATTTTGTACATTGACATTTTGTACATTGACATTTTGTACATTAACAAACAACAACAACAACAATTAACATTAACAAACAACAACAATACAAAAGCTATTAAGATTTGTAAGCAGTTTTTTTGTTTTTAATCAATTTGTTACTTGTTTAAATCAAATTCATTTCTCCGATTTTCTCGTTATTCACATTTGGCATCTCATTTTTCCAATCCAACACCAATTTTTGGTGTTTTTGAAGGAGCTGAAAAGTGGAAAAACGAGCAAATGAGGGGTTAATATTGGTCGTCATTTCCCCATTTTGTTTTTCTCCAGAAGAGCGCTGGTTCAATTTTAGAAAAAGCCGTATGTTGTGCGTTCTCTCATGGGAATTCCCCCTTCAGTGAGTGCCTTCAGCGAGTGAAAAAGAAAAGGCAAAATAACCTTAAAAGAGCAAAGAATAACTCAAAAACTCTAAGAATTTGCTGAAAATTGTTAAAATTTTCGATGCACAAGGCTTTCTTTTTTCATTTTGATTGAAGAGCGAATTTTCTCGGGGCAAATTGATGTCTTGCGTGGGATTTTTCCATTAATCATTAATCAGCTCTTGATATATTCGAGAAAATTTGTCAGTAAGTCTGGAATTTTCATCACTTTTTGCAAGCAATCCACTATTGAGTGAACTTTGTATCATTTGTTTTGTTTTGAAGTTCAGAGCCGATGGCTAGTAGTAGAGTATTTGAGAGATCCGATTGAAGAAGTATCTTCTTCGAAAGCCGACTTGAGCATTGTCATTCTTTGAACTCAAAGTTTCTCATTCAAAAACTTTTTATAATCTATGATACGATTTTGCAGCTGTTAATATAAATTGTGTTCCTAATTTGAAAAGAATTTCATGGGGATTGGCCATTTGAAAAGGGAACAGGGGATGATTTCACTCGTAATCCAGAAAAAGAAGTTGAAGAAAGAGGTGAAAAAGAGAATATTGAAAGAGGCAAAGAATATAGAATCGATTTGGGGAGAGAGGCGCAAAAGGGGATAGATAGAAAGGCTATGGGGTGGAGGGTAGAGAGATGGAGAGGCCCTAGAGGACTCTGGGAGTCCCGTAGATTTGAAAGTGTGTTGAGGAAGGGTGAGGATTAGTTTGAGTAGAGGCTGAAGGGATGGAAGAGGCTAGAGGACAAGGTGGAGGCCTTAGGTCTAGAGAAATTGAAAGAGATGAGAAAATGGGAACAAGAATGGAAGGAAAGGAGTGGACCTGGAGAGACTGGGATCTAGAAGATCTGGAAGTGCGTGGAGAAAGAGGTTGGGCTGGATATGACAGAGAGTAAGAGAGCCCTAGAGGGCCCTAGAGGGTGCAGGGGAACGAGGGTTGGAAGTAAGAAGAGAAAAGGAGAAGGGACGGATGTAGGGCCTTTGGCGGAGGGTAAAGGAGTGGAGGGGTTCTAGAGGGTCCTAGGGGGACTCTGAGGGTCTAGAGATTCTATATGGAGATCTCCATATAGGCCTCTCCCGTCACTCCTTTTCCATTCGTCTATCGCTTAGACTAATCCCGACACAAAGTCAATTCAATAGTTTTCGCCTTTCGCCTTTCGCTTGGCCGCTTTCCTTTAGATTTTTTCGGCAAATTGACTTTTTCAGCTTTTGTTTTCTTTGAAATTTAAAGTTTTTCAGTGTTTCATTCTTGGATTTTTCTCTATTTTATCTCTTTAAATTTTAGATGAACTTCTTTAAGAGAAAATTCTCTTTTCATGAGGATGAGGGCTTTGAGGTGAGTGTTTCAAGATTGTATAGGCTCAAGATTGTACAGGTTCAAGATTGTACAGGTTTAAGATTGTATTCAGTATTGATATTTCAGTATTTACGGCAATTTCCTTTTTGGTAGAGCTTCCAAGCGTCAAGTTCAATCTCCTAATGTATTAAATGTTATATAAAATATTGAAGCCCTTAATCTTGGCTACATTTATCTATTAAAAGTTTCCCGATTGATGATATAAAACTCATTTTACAAGGCTTTGAATGTGTACAATGAATGAGCTCTTCAATCATTTTACAAGTCTCGAAAACAGTTTTTAATGTTATTAAATGATGTTAAATAATAATTGAATGCAAAATAAATATCGAAAAACTTTCTCTAACAATTTATTACAATGAAAATCGCCAAAAATGGCAACCTTGCCGGAAGGGGATCAACTAGAGTTCATTCAAAGTCTTGTAAAATGAGTTTTATGTCTCCAATTGGAAAACTTTTAATAGATAAATGTAGCCAAGATTAAGGGCTTCAATATTTTATCTAACACTTAACACATTAGGATTGAACTTGGCGCTTGGAAGCTATTAGGTTGGGGACTATGACTCGGCGGACAAAAGAAAGGCAATATTGACATAAAACCATCAATTCACCAAATAATCCATATATTGACAACGCCCATTAAGGCAATGCGGACCCCTGTAGTAGGAGGTGTGTGAGACAAGTGTGAGACCAAAATGGAGGACTGAGAGTCCCAGTTTGAGCACCCAAAGAAACCATTGGGTCAATAGAAAAGGAGAGATCAAAAATGAGGCTATAGCAAATTTGCAAAAGATACACAGTAGTTTCGCTTAAAATGCAAGTTTGGAAAATTCGTAAATTTGCATTTTGAACAGTGTTTGATCGTTCTGATTGGAAAGCTTGTATCTCTACAACTTTCCATTACCAAATTTTTCACTTCATATGCATTTCCGCGGTCATAGTAACCCAATAATTTACCAGAAAGAGGTTGCAAAAAGAAGTCGCTTGAACACCCTGTAAAGCTTTAATAATATTTAGCATCAGAGTTTACAAACTGATTGTATAATTGGACTTGTTACTAGCTCATATCACTAGTTAGAACAATTTAGTTAGAACAATTCAATCTAAGCACTCATATTTGTTCCAGGCTCGTCTAGAAGACCCATCTCCATCACAGCCACCGTCAGCTTTTTCCTTTCAAGCTATTGCTGATAAAGTCTCCAGTACTATCAGGTACCAGCCTTGCTGACAAAGATATGATTTACTATGGAAATATTGATACTTTTTTTGTTATACCACCCTAAGAAAACTATCGCTAAACTATCCTTCAGCTAAATCACCATGAAACATCAATCTTGATCAAACCTTTTTCAAATCAAACCTCAATCAAAACTCAACCAAACTGTTCAAACCATTAAGCTAATCCTTTTGACTTCGCAAGGTTGTTGATCACCAAAAAAATCTTGATCTCAATCATCGATAAATCAGGAATTAGAACGATTTCAATTTTCATTCTTATAGAAGATACAGCTCTAAGGAAGGCTGGGAGATTGAGAGAACTAGAACATGAACTAGAACATGAACTAGAACATGAACTAGAACATGAACTAGAACATGAACTAGAACATGAACTAGAACATGAACTAGAACATGAACTAGAACATGAACTAGAACATGAACTAGAACATGAACTAGAACATGAACTAGAACATGAACTAGAACATGAACTAGAACATGAACTAGAACATGAACTAGAACATGAACTAGAACATGAACTAGAACATGAACTAGAACATGAACTAGAACATGAACTAGAACATGAACTAGAACTGAGAACTAGAAACATGAAGAGAATTACTTTCCTGTTATACCACCCAAAACAAAGAGCGATTTAGGAATAAATAGAAATAGGAAATGAAGAAATTTTGTTTAATTTATGGGATTTACAATCTTTAAATGCAATGGTTTTTGTAAATGAAGGGATTCTAATCTTTTAAAATACAATTTCGGATTTAGGACATGAGATAAAGTGTGCAAAGAATAATGCACATAAGCAAAAATGTACCGATAAAAAGCAACACGATACAATGTACGCAATATAGTAAGATTGATGAAGTCAAGAATCCATTAGACCTGCAATATCAAGATCATCTACAGATAATTGAAAGGCTTAAAGATCTCTCTAAAGATCTATTGGACTCTCTCAAGCTCAAGCTCAAGCTTTGGAGAATGGATTTCAAATTCTGACGGTTCTTATTGGTAGATCAGGATTGTTTTGTTTTGGTTTTGGTTTTGGCTCCGGTTTTGGATTAAAAGGATTAACAAGATAATACCAAAACATTTTCTGCTTGAATAAAACTTATATTTTAGTGCCCCAACATCACCAGCTCGTACCCAAGAATCATTGGCGGCAGCTGTGGAGAGATCGCTGATGGGAGACACGAGAGCAAATCTGGCAAGAATTCCACCAGATGCTCTTGTCATTCTTGTTATCGATGGACATCTTGTTGATTGGTGAGGTTTAAGTCAAAGATTTACAGTAAACTGAAGATATCTGAAATGATAAAATCCTCATTTTTCAGGAGCAAGTACTTTCGCAATCAATCTGACTACATTATTCGTGTTGAACAGGTTTGTGGAAGTAGAAAGTCGAATTATCTTGAAATCGATATTGAAGATATTGAAGAAGTATTGAAGAAGTTCCATTGTTAGTAAAGGAATAAAGGAATAGTCAAATTTGAAGACTTATAACAAGTTTTAGGCTGATTTTCAAGACATTGACATTCAATGCACCGAGCACACGGCACTTGTCGAATTGCGGTCGATTGGCTCGCATACAAAGTGTGGATGAGTTGAATTGAAAATGATATTGAATATAGGATATTGAAATTTCTCTTTACCAGTTTTTATTTGGTTCTGGATAATGGCTGGCATAGATATTGGTGAATAATGTGAAATGAATGTGAATGAATTTTGTTTTCGGTAGACAATCCAAGACCAGTTCTGTATAAAATCCGAGAACCCCGCTGAGCAACCATCGGTCTCCGTAGTGCAGTCGGCCGCATGTTTTTCTGCAGCCCAGAAGTCCCGGGTTCGACCCCGCTGTGAATCAATTTTCCTTCCAAATTTTTTATTTGGTTCTGGATAATGGCTGGCATAGATATTAGGGAATAATCTTCCAGAAGCCGGTTCAAAAGTGAATGAATTTTGTTTTGGGTAGACAATCCAAGACCCGTTCTGCATAAAATCCGAAAAACCCACTGACCCACAATCGGTCTCCGTAGTGGAGTCGGCCGCATGTTTTTCTGCAGCCCAGAAGTCCCGGGTTCGACCGCCCTGTGAATCAATTTTCCTTCTAAATTTTTTATTTGGTTCTGGATAGATGTTAGTGAATAATGAACAAGAATCCGGTTCAAAAGTGAATGAATTTTGTTTTGGGTAGATAATCCAAGACCAGTTCTGTATAAAATCCGAAAAACCCGCTCAGCAACCATCGGTCTCCGTAGTGCAGTCCGCAGCGTGTTTTTCTGCAGCCCAGAGGTCCCGGGTTCGAGTCCCCTGTGAATCAATTTTCCTTCTAAATTTTTTATTTTAAATGCTACAGTAGATCCTAAGGTTTTCTAAAGAAGTTTTAGCTTTATTCATAAAAACACAACCGAGAAAATGACAAACAGACCGACACTGCTCTTTTAAAAAATAGAACATTGTCAAATCGACTCCTTTCAGATCATTTTGCCCTTGTGCTGTCTTTGTGGGCCCATCCGCTTCAAATCCCCTCTCCTCCTCATCACAACGAATCATTCGCTCCCTCCTTGCCGCACGAATTCCATTTCTCAACTCGAATCGATCGATTTTAGCTTTTATGGATAAAACGAATTTGGTGAGAAAGGAAAAATTACTGTAAAGATTCTATAGATATCCTTTAGAAGAAAGAGCTTCGAAGAGCGACTTTGTCAGATGGGACGAGGATCCCACTTCTTCCCTCCACTCATGATCCACACTTCAGAAGTTTTGTGAGTTTTCACTTATCTTTTAGTTACCTAATAATGATTTTCTAATAAATACAAAGCTTGGGTACTGTATTGAGTAAATAAAAGGGTTTTAGCATCCGTCAACCAGCTTCCCAGCTGTAATTCTCGTGAACGGTGGGCGAAGTAGGATTGGAAAGGTGAGTGAAAGATTGGAATTGTTAAAGATACTTGCTAAAGTTTTTAACAACTCGCATAAGATAGCATAAGCCTAATAAAATTAAAAAGATTACAGGTAAAAGTCGAAAACGCGGAGCAACTCGGCGACGTCGAGGAGATGATTCGAGCGATGGGGAATGATGTTGAGGTGAAGTCTAAAGCTTTAAAAATGTTGAAATCTATAAGAACTAACAATAAGTGTCATAAGCTTATAAAAATGAATCATTTTAAAAGATATGGTTATGTTTTAGGTCGAAGTCGAGCCATTCGTCGACATCAAATACGATCTACATGTGCAGAAGATTGGAAAGGATTATAAGGTTGGCATTCAGAGAAGATTGTGGGACATTTGATAGGCCTTTGCCATTAGCAAAAATTTAAACTCAAATTTCTTGGTGTTGGGCTGTTCAATTTAAATAGTTTTTGTATCAATCGATAGCAAAAGCCTTACAATGAATAGTGCAATATTGTAAAAAGGAAAATGATCTTAAACCAAAACAAGTTTAGTCATTCATTCGTCGTGGAATCTCGAGGCACTGGAAGAGCAATGTCGGATCGTCAGTACTCGAGCAGACGAACACCTCGGAAAGGTTGAGCTTAACATTGCAAAAGAAAATAAAAACCAGAAAACCTGATGTATTTTATAGAAATTCTTATATGAAAAAGATTTCCTTAAAGCTATATATAAGTTTTAAAACAAAAAATAGTGCAATATTGTAAAAACCTTCATTTTAAGACACAAAGAATGGCTACGAACCATTTGCACAATTGTCGGCGAGATGCACCTCTTATCAATCGACATTTTGATGTCTCGAGAAGGTTTTTTCGATTTTCAAAACTATTAAATTTTCAAATCTAGGACGAGAATTCGTGTACGGTGTGAACGATGTTCTTTCGTATTACGGGGAATCACAAGAAGAAGACAGGAGAGCTGTAGCTGGACTGCTTGCGAAATTGGCCACTCCACATGGTAATTGGAAAACCTTTTGGTCAGAATTGGAAACACACTTGACTTAAAAAGGATGAACTAACTTCAAATTTTTTATCTATATCTATCTGTTATCCGTTTTTGATCAGAGATCTTTGAAAAGCAATCAAAAACAAGGCGGAACTGAAAAATGGCTATAATAAACGGTTCAGAGACATCCGGAAAACTTTTGTCCGGCCAAATCTGACTAAATCTGTTTGAGATGAGTATTTCTGGTAAGACAGCCAAGAGCCAAAGCATAGTTCCCAAGAGTTTGAGCATAGTGAAGCCCAAAACGACGAAACCGACTCAGCCGCTCACCGCTTCTTTGCCTTGACGGATTAAGGGAAACGCAAAGGGAAAAGGCTTTCTACCGAGACGATTTGCCAGACGGGAAGTGATTACGCGCCGCACAAAGAACATCTCGCCAGTGATTTACTTGGATTTCTCTTGCTTATAAAGCCCTTGCTTAGATGACCCAAAAAAGATATTCAGCTGTATCATTATCGGGGGTTTTCGGAGTCGGGGAATCGATTGATTTTTGGGTTATTTTTGTTTTATCTTTCAAGCAAAACCTCTAACTTGTGCTGTTCAGAAGTGCAGATCCATCTTTTAACTTGATCGATCAAAAGTTTCCCGTTTGTCTTTGAACCGTTTTTCAGTTTCCTTTGTTTTTGATTGCTTTTCAAAGATCTCCGATTAAAAACGGATAACAGATAGATAGATAGATCAAAAGGTTTGAAGTTAAATCACCCTGAGCCTTTTCTTTTGACAACTAATCACTGAAATCGATTACAAGTCTTACAATCTTACAAACAGATAGATAAAGGTTTGATGTTAGATCATCCTTTTTTTTTCCTGTAATTGAACAAGTCTTTGCTTCACTGATCACTGAGACCGACACAAGCTTTTACGCTTTTAAAGCTTTCCAAAGGTACTTCCAAACTAGAGCTGATAAATTTAGAAGTTTTTGAATTTCTAGCAGCTAAATCTTTTAGCTCATTTGCTTTTAGAAAAAAGATCTTTTGATAAGATTCACATGTGTATGATACATTGTGCTCAAAAAAGTAAATACACCCTTTCCAGCGCACTTCTAGCGCACTTCCAGCGCACTAGTTGATTTCACTGGAAAAAAGAGTTCGCCAGAAAGGTTTTTGGCGCAAAGTATATTTCAGTACAGCTCAGAGTGTCTTTAGTTTGAGTTTTTCAAAGTACAGACAAATTTTCAGGTCAACTTCCACGAATGTTTTCGAGAGAGTTCACTCCCGGTGATTTCACGCCATCATCTTCAACCGTTTCCTCGCCTCCTCCAAGAGCAATTTCCCCACCATCTTCACTCAGTCAAACCCCAACAAAACAGACGAATGGTTTCTCGAGTAATGTTAGACAAGTCAGTTTTATGCTTTAGGGATTACACTTGTTAAATGCGTAATAGTACCGTACTAGTATGCGTACTAGTACCGTACTAGTACCGTACTAGATTCACTAGATTACTAGATAGTATTAGCGCTAGCCTTATCGCAGTACTAGTACTGAATACTGATGGTCAAGTTCATTGAAAACGGTGTTAGCACGTGATTCGTGGTTTAACGTTAACTAGAAAAATATTGTATCTGACTTCTGACTCTGACTTCTGAAAGAAAATCTGACTTCTCTAACTTCTGAAGCATATGTGTCTAAAAATAAAAATTGTAGATAAAATTGAATCATTCAATCGTTCCAGCCTCCATTCAACCCACCCGTTCAACCATTCCGTGCCGGTCATCCGATAAATGGCAGCCATGTTCAGCCACTTAAAATGCCGGTTCAAATCCCTGTTCAAACAGCCGCTGCACTTGCACCAATGCGAAAGATGAGCTCCTCAAATTCGGGACCTTTACAACCACCAGTCAATAGGGGAATTCCACCAGAACAAGGTGATAAACAACAAGAATTGATCTGAGTCTAAGAATTGATTGAACAAGATCAGCAACTTCTAACAAAGCATCATTCTTCTAATAATAATAATGATTTGATCTGTCTTCGCCTTAGCAGATCACAACCCGCTTCCACATTTACTGAGGCAGAAGTGTAGTTGTCGTAGCCGATGATACTCCGATGGCCGGGCTGGGGCGCTCGGAGGGGAGCCCATGGGAGTCGAACCCACGACTAACCCGCGCCGACGTTGCTCAACTTGGCAGATCGGACGGGGTCGACCACAGACCCTTCCCTTTCTGGGCCCCATTCTTCTAATACTAACTACCAAATATTTGCAATATATTTAGAGCAAATATTGGCAAGTATTTGCATTTGCAGTATTTGCAGTATTTGCAAGTATTTGCATCTTTTAATATCTAACAATGATGTATCTCTTTGTAAGAGGCTTTAGAAAAGATTCAATTAAAGAAATTCATTCCAAAGATTAGATTAGCTTTCAAAGTCGAAACCATAATGCTCATTCTACTTATAACATGGCAGAATAAGCTTTAGCTTTCAAGTCATTAATCATTTTTAATCAAAAGAACCATCAGAACAAGTCATTCTTTTCCAAATCCCTATTTCAAGGCTCGTTGATGAGAAGTGAGAGGAGACGAGAATCGGAAAAAATTGGCAACAATAATATGAGCTCATCGATCGAAAAGGAGAGTCATTCGTTTGCCGAGGACACAATGGGACAATTGAAGAGAACTTTTGCCGGGATTTTTGGGGATGTCTCGTAAAAGTTGTTCCAATATATTTCGTAGAGATTTAGCTAAAAATAGCTACATACTTATCATGTTTTGTCTTCAACTAGTTACTGTAGCTCTGAACGTTGCCAAATTCCCAGTCATCTAGAAAATTTCAAACTAGAACATCTATGATCTCCATTTATCTAGCTAAATTCCAGTAATAACTGAAAATCCGGTCTATTTAATCGGTTGTGATATAAAATTCTTGATTTCTTGCTTTATTAGGTTTTCCAATTGACTCAGCTCTGGCAATTGAACGAACAAAAGTATAAAAAGTGCTTCTTTTTCTCTCCGCTTTACTCCTGCTCATGTTTATTTATTTTCTATAGCATGTCATGGATTTAGAATGAATAATAAATAAATATTAATACAGAAAAGATGAAAAAGCTCACAATAAACGGGGGTGGGACAAATGCGACCTTTTTTTGCGCACCTGGACATTTGCGCACCTTTTTTTTGCTGGAAAAGGCCTTAGGAAAGGTCGTAGAGCTTCAAAAATGTTTTCATAGAAGGGAATCGTATGCGTAGATTCCGAATTTCGACAAATCAGACCTCGCTGACACGTCAAATTTGGGCTAAAAGGCAAAAACTGCGGAAAAGCGTTAAGTTGCGTAGTTTTTGCTTTTTAGCCCAAATTTAACGTGTCAGCGAGGTCTGATTTGTCGAAATTCGGAATCTATTAGGTTGATGCATAAGTCTTTTCGTTTTTTTTCGTACTTCTGTTAAAAAGTAACAAATTCACGAATTAATCTATAGTTTGCTCTATAAAAAAAGTGTTTTTTTGTTCAATTTGCATCTTTTTAAATGAATTTCGGTTCACTTTCAAGCAAATTCGAGAGTGAAAAACGCCTTTTTCGTAAAAATCTATAAAAAACTCTACGGAAAAATTGGCTGAATGAATTTCTCTGAAATTTTGGCGAAATATCAAACGTTTTTTTTCTCTATCTTTTATCTATTGACACGAAGATAGGTTTTCTTTAGCTAAGGTGTCTAAACCGCATCATCGAGTTAGCCCTTTTTGACTACCCGACTTCATACTCTCAAGAAAATCCAGGCATTAAATATTTTTAAACCCGTTTTAATGTTATTTTGCAGAAAAATAATTGCTTTTTCTAATGAAATCAACCGTAGTTTAATTCGTGCATTTGTTGGCTTGAAACGGCAGACGAAAAGGAACGAAAAGACTTATGCATCAACCTAATACGTATACGATTCCCTTATGTGAAAACATTTTTGAAGCTCTACGACCTTTCCTAAGGCCTTTTCCAGCAAAAAAAAGGTGCGCAAATGTTCAGGTGCGCAAAAAAAGGTAGCATTTGTCCCACTCCCAATATTAATACAGAAAAGATGAAAAAGCTCACAATAAACACTGAATTAGTACTATTAATGGAAAACTTAGGTATTCAATCGTTTAACTGAATATCATTACAATTATAAAAAGCGAATAAGATCAAATTTGGCCAAAAAGGCCAAATTTTAATCTTATTTACGAATTTTTTGCCGATGGCTTTTTGAAAGTTGGCGCTTTTTGGAAAATGAAGTACGGTAGGATAATTTTAAGCCGCCAATAATTTAAACCACCAATTTTTAAAGTATTCAGCAGAAAAACTATTCCATTATCGGCACTAACTTGTTAGCGCAAAATTTAAAACGGATTACGGTCAAAAAAAATGACGGCAATGCTAGAAAGGATCCATGTTTTCGATTTTGCAACTAATTTGACGGAAAACAAGTTTACTTACTCATGAAAACGTTTCAAAAGCAAAATTTGCTGGCAAAGTTTTTTTAAAACTAAGCGCAACTTTGTCTAGCCACATGCCTGCTCTTTTTTCTCTCATAGACAGAAAAAGCGCATTTTTCTCTGCGTCATTGCATTTCTTTCTATTTTCCCCATCTCTCTCTCTTTTTTTTTGCAAAAAAATCGATTTCCCGCTTGTTTTCCCTCCCTTCACTCAGTTCTTTCCATTTCATATCAACTTCGGAAGCTTTCGGTGTTTCTTAAATATTTAACCTGTTCTTTAGTGGATCTTCTTCCGGAAACTTGAACGAATTGCTTGTCGGTGATCGTGACAGTGATCGTGACGGTAATCGATGCAAAAAGCCGACTTCATCGCCACCCCGTTCTACATTTGTCGTGGGATCAATGCAACGAACAAAGATCGCGCGATCAATTCGATCAAGAAATGCCAGGTAATTCTACGCTTTTTGATTATTATTGAGTAAAAACAAAGGAAGTGGTGTTGTTTTGTGCAATTTCTACATTGAATTTGAGCTATATCTTTGCTGAGTTCTTATTGAATGGTTAAAATCTGTGCTCATACTAAAATTTTTGTTGTTTTGACACTTTGAGGTGACTCGAGAAAGAGTTAAAGGTTAAAATTATACTCGAATACTCTCTCCTTGCCCACAAAATAAAAAATAATGACAAGGGGCAACTAATTTCAACAGGATCATCACTACATTCGATTTCGGTAAGCTCAAACAAACTTTATTTTGATCTACACTGCCAGGAGCAAAGAATTGATAAAAAAATGATTAAAGCGCTGACTCTTTGAAAATTTCTCAGAGTAATCCGTGTAAAGCTTACAAAGCAAACACCAAAAATTCACGTTTTATCAAAAGTGCAAGTAAATTCAAGTTCAAAAACTGGTAATGCTTGAAAAACGCTTCAAACAAACAAGAACAAATGTGAAATGAAGGTTTTGCGCAAAGAAACGAAATACTTTTTCAATGGTTTTCCCTCCAACACTATGAAAAGTGTTTTATTTGTATTCCCTTAATTTTAGAGATGCAAGAGCACAAACACCCACGCGGATACTCTTCTCGCGCCAGCTGGTCACTGTTATCAAATCATCTTCGAGTGTTTCACGTGTGGCCTTCGTTTGGATATCTTTGAGAGGGATTTGTATTCGGTGTAAGTGACTTGTTATGCAAAAATGTGAAACTAACTATATGTCGTAGCCGTTTACGAAATTGAGCCGCTAGCGAATGAGGGTATTTCCGGGCATCCAATCAAAAAGTCACCCACATAAAAAATGTTCATAATACATATATTTTATAATAAATTTTTGAAATTAGCTCATTTGGTTCAGTAGAAAAAATTTTTTTGAGCCCCCAAAGTTTAGGTTCAAAAATGGCTATAAAAGAATTTTCTACAGCCAAGAAACTTGCCTAATAGCTCATTTTGTAGCCAATTTGATGTAGTTTCTTAAAGTAAAGCTGCATTGAACATTTGTTTTTCAAAGCTAGGAGAAAGAGGGCGAGGAACGACTTCAGTTGAACTCGGTCGCTGTTTTCACATTTGAGAATTGCCCTGAATTTGTTCCTCGCCCTCTTTCTCCTACTTTCAACCGTCAATCGTCAATAGAATTTCGTAAACGGCTACGACATACATATCAAAGTTCATGTTTCCTTTTTACACCGGGAGATCAAGCTACAGCACCCAGACTTCAAAATTGTGATAAAGTGCGAATAAAGAAACCGTCAATCAAGAAAATTAAATTTCGTTCTTAATCTGACTAAAATATCATTAAATACGCCATTCAATGTGATGTGAATATTTGGGAGGGCCCAAAAGCCGCAATTTTTTTTCCGCAAAGGGGCATATTCGCAACACTTGGCGAGAGCCACAAAAACAACAAATGATACCAAAAACATAGAAATCTAACCAAGATAAGGTTGTCAAGATATCAAAAGTTGTGGAAATGCCCCTTTGCGGAAAAAAATTTGCGGTTTTTGACCCGTCCTGAATATTTTAGTATCTGCAAAATTTGATGCTTTCATCAAAATTGTGGCACATTTTGGGGGTGGCTACTTTGCGCCCATTTTTTACGCAACTCGTCACTTTCTTCTAAGTGGGCTAATCTTTATGATTTTAGTGTAATTTTGTAGATCTCAACAAGTGCAACAAAATGACACCAAAACCATAAAGAATTGGTTCACTTAGAACAAAGTTATGGCGAGTTGCGCGAAAAAATTTGGCGCAAAGTAGCCGCATATTTTGTCGGAAATTGACTTTTTTGAGATTTGTAACTTTGATACCAAAAGATGCTTTCATCAAAATTGTGGCACATTTTGGGGGTGTTCTTGTGATCTTGTTCTTTAAAAATGTTAACATCTTTAGTAGAAATTAATATTTGATCATTTCAGGGAAGACTACTGCTCGGAAACAGTCGCTGAACCGCTACAAGCATCCACTTCATCACACGGCGATGTGGATCTTCGGGTAGAAATATTTTCAACTTTTCGATTTTAAATTTTATTCCAGAATTTACCCGCACAAATGCCACCGGTGATTTCGGCAAATGGAACAAGGAAAGTACTGTAAGTGGTTGTTTTTATTTGTTTTTGAAACTGTTTTAATGAGAAGTGCTAAACTTTTGAAATGATTTGTCAGTTTTGTTCAAAATGTGCTTAATATTAGAATAATTTAGGCTAAATCTACCAGCCTCGAAAATCTCTGCTTCAAATATCACCGCTTTTAACAACGATGATGACACAGAAACGGTGGACGAGCAAGCGGCAAAAAATGTCGTTCCTGATGCAAATGAGTTGGCTAGGTTTTTTTTTATTAGATTTTAGGTAAATATTGTTTTTGTCTCTAGTCTATGTCTGAATACAAGAATGGATATCGAATTTGGTCACGCCTGGTTTAAACATTTGATTTCAATTCCAATGAAAAATCTAATTTAGGCTAGCTGCGCAAAAAGTGAAACAGCAATTCGAGTTGGAGCAACGGATTCGCGCGGAATTTCAAGCACGAGAGAACCGGAGAAGGGCTTTTGAACAGAAACGATTGGAAGCACAGAGAGCCAAAGTTTGTGATTATTGTTTAAAACGAGTACTGTGCTATTTACAGTTCGGTCAACTCAAAGCGGAGCGCGAGGATCGACTGCATATTTTTGTGGATCGAGTTCGCCAGTGGGCGTCTGGAAGAGTGTGTAACTGGCCAAAGGTTGGTCTTGCCTTTAGCAAAATCGAAATTACAGGGTGCGCCATAATTGTCGCAACAAGATAAAGTTCTGATTTTAAGGCAAACAAGAGCAAAAAAAGGCAAATTTTTAAATGAATAGCATTTATTGTACATTAACAATTATAAATCAACTATCAAATTCGAATCGGCCACCATTAGCATTTGAGATTTGAGCAGGCCTTTCGGGAAGGCGTCAACGGTGGTGACCAAATAGGCTGGATCGAGCTCTTCTCACGCTTTCAACAGTGATTTCTTTAAGCTTTCGATGTTTTTGTGGGGCTTTGAACAAGCTTTGGCTTCTAGAGCCGACCACACTGAAAGATCCATTGGGTTGAGGTCTGGAGAGCTAGGTGGCCACTCAGAAAGAAATTAAGTCCAGAAAGTTGTTTTGGCAGAACTCTTTGAGTTTCTTAGATTTGTGGACCGGTGCGCCATCTTGCCGATAAGTCCAAATGCAATTTCCAAAATGTTTACGAGCCCAGGGCAAGAGTTCATCCTTGAGAAGAGCCGGATAGTTATCGGAATTGCGCGCATGGTACCTTTTTGCGACAATTATGGCGCTCCCTGTACATATCTGGTTTGAATTCAATATCTAAGCTTATCATGACATGTTTAGGTATAGTTATAATTATTTGTACTAAATTAACGATGATGATCCAAGATCAGAAATGATATTTTATGGTTTAATTTTGCTTCTGACGATTAGCTGGTACAAAAAAAAGTAAAAATTAAAAGCCGGGCGTTTGAAGAAATCTTCCACTCAAGAATAATGATGACAGTCCAGACAAAAACCCACATTTTGTACAAATATCACTATGGGCACTATCATTATGTACAAATAATTATAACCAACCTCAACAGCTTATTAATGCAATATTGCAGGTTGAGATTGAGCATCTAAAGTTTGCTTGAGCTAGAATAACTCGAATGCATTCCATGATCAAACGTTTCAACAATAGTAATCAAGCGTCTGTACGAAAAGGTTTTGCGTCTAGACCGTCTTCGTTACTCTATATAGTGGAAGATGACGATCTGACATTAAAATGACTTGCTTCAAACGTTCGTCCGGCTTTTAGTTTTTGTTTATTCGTCTTTCATTTGCCCTGGGAAGTAAAATAAAATAATATTTGAAGCGTTTTGGGTCTGGATAGTCATCGTTAATTTAACCCATGTTTAGATTTACGAGATTTGCAAAAACCCTACTCATCCCTATGGCATTAATATGGATATGGTAAGAAAGTCTATTTTAAACTTGAAAACCCCTTTTGCAGTTATGTGACTTCTACGAGGCGTTTCTTGTTTGGCAATCGGAAGGCAGCACTCCTTTCCCAGGGAAGGTCGATCCAGTAGCACGAGGTAACTTCAAGAAAATTAGTTAACCTCAATTTTGCTCCAGAGTTGGCTTCATACTGGCAATTTGGTGAGCGTTTGGCGATCACGGCCGAGTTTCGGGTCTATTTCGAGGAAATTTGTAAGGTAAGATTTGTGGTTGTAAGATTTCAATTTTGAAAGTTCTCAAGTCCAACACTAAATTTAGGAAGATCATCGCAAGCGGCAACTAGCAATGGCTCCTCCGCCTCAACCGATAAAAATAATACCGCCAGTTCCTCCTCCACCACAGCGAATATCTCCATTTCTTCAAATCCCTCTTCCAGCCGCTTCCATGCAGCAAATCCCTCAAGTACCCCGTTTCTCGCAACGCTGGTAAAGAGATTCTTTTTAATAATTGATTTAATTGAATTTCCCATTTACGTCAACTTGCATTTACGTTTGAAAGACCAAGCACAGGCCAGACTTTGTACTCTTTTAAAAGCGAATTGAAATGGTTAAATAGAAATTTCGATTTCTGACTGTACAAAGAATACAAATCGCCTTAAGTGTGGCTGGGAAAAGTTACAGTACCTTTTTCCCTTTAAATTCGCTCTTAGGATATTGAATTTTGCTAAATCTAGATTTAAAATATCATCTTAAAATAAAGTTTTATTGTTCGTATATTCACGTGTATTCATTTCACTTTTTCTTTTTGTTGTTGCTTCTTTTAAATGTTGTTTTTTGCTAAGAAATAGGAAAAACATTTTATTTCCGTTTGTGTACAGATATATGTAACTGACAGAGAGAGTTTCAGGCAGAAACATCACAAAATTTCACTTTTTTTTTTAGGGAGCTTTTCGTGCAGGTAACCGTATTCTTTTGTTCAGTAGCAGTGGGGAATTTGGTGAGCTTGTTTTCTAAAATGCAATGCCTCACTAGTACTGTACTTTTTGAGTGTGGTAGACGCGAAAAGACGTGGAAATGGCAGTGTTGAGTGAAGGGAAAGAGATTTGTTTAGGGTGACCCTCCGAAAATTTGCATATATTTAAATATTTAGGACGGTATTTAGATCCTGTCGATTATGGTAAGTTAATCTCAAATCAATAACTGAATATCTTTGATTTTCAAAAAACTACCATATCAAGCAAGATTTTCGGAGAGTGAAAGATAGAGAGAAGCTATCACAGCGTGGCGGTGTCGGATAATGAGCAAATTGAAGGGTTTGCAGAATTCACATGAGGGTTTTTGGATAGAAAATCGACTACTAGATATCGGAATTGGTAAAAAAAAAAAGATAAAATATAGTAGTTCGATATGACTAATGATTTGACATCATGACGGGTGAACGCATTCGATCGACTGGAGAGCGCACAGCGACAGCCCGAATCACCGGAACATCGGGACGTGGGTGGATCTAAATGGATTGGAATTTTAAAATCAACTCCAAATATAATATCCATGCAAAGTTGTTGGCTAAAAGCCTAAACTCCGCCAATTGTAAACGGGACTTAACCTTTTGCTTCATAACTTTCCATGGATATTATATTTTGAGTTGATTTTGGTATCATTCGATGTGCAATTTTATTCTGCGTCGAATGATTCTCAAAATAGTCAAAAGCGAAGGGTTGGTGCTGAGAAAAACCGAAAAAACCAGTTTTTACCACATTTTTCCTCGAATCGTGCTCGGAATGTGTGCGCCGCACGGCTTTCTTCTTGCGCATCACCGTGTGAAAGATTGGAGACTAAAACTTGTAATTTCCCCTTAACCAATCAAATCCCCTTACTTGATCATCACTCAAATGTGCTCCCGCATTGGCAGAATGGGGTCCTCGACGGGCTCCTCGACTAGATGTACTGCCACTAATCGAGCCGGTTCCCCGAGCCGAGCTTTTGTCCCACGAGCCAGTGGATGAAGCTGGGGAAACAGCTCTCATCGGCGAGTTTCTTTCTTCTTCTGAAAGAATTTGCCACAATTTGCCAATTCAGAATTTGCCACAGTGATCAGTAATTGTTTTTTGCTCACCATTTTCAAATAGCTCCAATTTTGGGCCTTGTGGAGCATTGTAGTCGACTTTGTACTCGACGACAACTGGTTCATAGGAAAGCAGGATGTAGATCTTTGGACCAAAGAGGAAAGCGAGCAGAACAGTGGCACACATCAACAATTCCAGAGCGATCACACTTTCCTGGAATTGAAGACTAGAAATTGAATACTTTAGTCCATTCTAACCAGTCATGTTAACTCGGTCCCTTTTTTGGTCCGTTTGCCGTTGGCAATCTACGAACTTTGTTCGTATCTTAGCTGGGTTTGTTTGAAAAACGTTGAATTTCATTTCATCCTATAGAAAATTTGATTTCGGGTCGAATGAAAGTAAATTTAGCGTTTTTCAGAAAAAACTAAGCTAAGATAGATTGTCAACGGAAAAGAAACCGAAAAAGGCCTGATTAACATGCCTTATTCTTTCTTCAGTCTTCCGAGCCTACAGTCTAAAAGTTCGAGTGTTTTTGAAGAGCTAATCAAGGTACAATTGGAATACTTTAAGTCTGATTCAAATAGTAAACACCGTATTTGTTCTAATAGCCTCTAATAGAAGCAATTTTGTGGAATGTTTGAAAAATACAGCGACTCTTGATTTAACGATTCTATTGGGTTGTCCAGTTATGAATGCGCGTTTTTACTATTTTGTAAATTTCTCAAGATATCGAACAGATTTATATGAGTGTTATATATCATTCGAAAGCTCAAGATCTCCTCTACATTTTGGAATAAAAAAAGTTTTTGAATTCATTCAACTTTTTGGGGAATTGACTGCACAAAGGGAGAGGTCTTTTTCGAAAAAACCCATTCCAGTTTAGCTATTCCTCAAGTTTTATGGTGTAAAATAACCGCCCAGAAAAGAAAAGTAAAGATGCTCTGAAATTGTTATATTGAAAAAAAGTTGTATTGATATATCTATTGGCCAAACATCAAACGGTTAACTCAATTTGAGCGGAGCCAAAACTTGATCCAAAGGCACCCTTCCATTTTTTTGGCCACCTCTTCTTCTGTGCGGTCAATTTGCCCAAAAGCTGGACAAATTCAAAAACTTTTTATATCAAAATGTAGAGGAGATCTTCAGCTTTCGAATAATACTCATATATATCTTTTTCTTGATTTCGGTATCTTGAGAAATTTACAAAATAGTAAAAAACGCGCATTCATAACTGGACAACCCAATAAAAAGTGCCCCAAATGTCTTGGGTAGTTGCCCAGAACGAGCAACGATTGCGTTTGGTTGGGCAACTACGGCAACTACGGTTGGGCAACTACGGCAACTACGGTTGGGCAACTACGGCAACTACGGCAACGACAACTAACTACCAAGGACGTGTTTTCGAATCTCAAAATCGTTGTATAAAGTGTCGAGGGTAGAAGGAAATCTTCTATTAGAATAAATACAATAATTTTGTTGTCTTGTGCAATAAATGTATACCTTCCACTCATACGGCACTGAGAAATACGCGGCGATCCACAAGAGCCAGATGAACGCGCAAATCATCGACGAAACACACAACCATTTCGTTTCCTTTAAGCGAAAATTGATATTGATAAAAAAATAAAGATCAATTATCAAAGTGGAAATGTTCAAAAAGGGTTTTCAATATGGTAAATCAATATGGTAAGAATTGAAACGAAAACCTTGTAATTCCTCTTGATATTTCTGTTTCGACTGTTGATGAAAAGAGCCAAGATGAGTAGAATGATTGCGTAAGCGTTTGAAAGAACAAATTCCTGGGAAATTTTTTTGAAATAACAATTGAAATCGCCATGCTCACCACTCTTCCATATGAGCAAACCATTTTCGTGGAGTTTCCCGAAATTGACCACGTTGAAAGGAATGCTTCGGCTGCCCATCTGAATTGGTTTTGAAGATTTTAAATGAATTTCAAATCTAAATTTATTCTTACCTCACAGAAAGCGCAATTTGCACGCCAAAGATGAAAAAGAGCAGCAGCCAGTAGTTCCAGAAACTGATGTGCACGTTCGTCGCCGAGTAAAGCGTTTCCGCGTTTCGGAGCTGCGTGCCCTAGAAGTTGAATGAAATTGCATCAGAACTGAGTACGCTAGAAGGGGCTTGTTGCCATTTTTCAGCACAAAGAACACTCAAAGAAGCACAGGAAACTCAAAAAGCACCTTTGCAATCATAACTCCAAAGCAAATTGTGTAAGCGAGACCGTGAAGGATGACGCGGGCTCGGCAAACCTGAAAATGGTAAGACAGTAAGAATTTTGAGACTTTTGAGACTACTAGAACCTACTAGAACCTACTAGAACCTACTAGAACCTATTAGAACCTACTAGAACCTACTAGAACCTTCTAGAACCTACTAGAACCTTCTAGAACCTACTAGAATCTACTAGAACCTTCTACAACCTACTAGAACCTTCTAGAACCTTCTAGAACCTACTAGAACCTACTAGAATACTGTAAATGAATAAAATTAGCATAAAAACAATGACGCAAGATAACTTACCATATCAGTGGCATCGAAAACGAAGAAATAGGCGGTGATGTAAAGCATGATGATGCCGACAAGAAGGGAAATCCCCAGCGATTGATTACCTAAATAAATTGACTTCTTAATTTGACTTTTAACTTTCTAAGCTACAGTACTACCATAATTTCTAGTGTTTTAGCAATAGTTCTTAGAATTTTATAACTTTTTGACCTTTAACAACCCGGAGATACAGCTTGACGAGCACCAAAATCAACACGGCCAGTGCGCTGATCGTCTGAAATTAGATTTAAAAGCGCTTACAAAACTAACTATGGTGTTAAATAATTGTTAAATAACTGCTAAATAAAATAACTATTAACCTAAGGTCTCGAATAACCATTAAAATATATCCTTAAAACTTACTAATAAAGAAATGACGGCCAATAGAACGAAGTTGTGCGGATGAGCGCGCCACTCGCCGGTGCTCAAGTGCTCTAGGATCTGAAAAATGAGGTTTAAGTAATAAAGTGAAAGTGAAAAGCTTAAATAATACAGTGAAAGTCATTAGATAAATGCTAAGCTACAGTAATTTTTCAATAAACAGTGTTTTACCAATTATAGACTTAAAACAAGTCTAGGATTACAGAACAAACACCAACATGAAGTCACCTTGAAGAAAATGAAAGAAAATGAAAGGAAATGAGTGAAATATCGTAGTTGGTTGATTGCGTTTAGTATTTTAGAATTAAAGCTTATACAGAATGTCATATAAAAAAAGACTTTTCAACTCAAATTTTAAGAAAAATTTTAATTAATGGTCTTGAAACATCAAAAAAGAAATTTTGAAAGGGAAATTTTGGGTAGACAAATTTTTTGAATTTCACGTTTCACAAAATCAACAAAATTAACTGCCTCGTTGTCAAATTTCTCATCAAATGCCATCGTTAAACTTCAGCTTTGGTTTGCTGATCATTTAAAATGAATTTTCAAAATTTTTCGATGTTTTTTTAGTAATTATTGATCTCTACAATGCCATCCATTACTAGCGCTAAATTGTCATTTTTTCTTTGCTTTTTAAAGTATAAGCGGCTTTTTTTTATGACGCTGAATGATTTATTTTGGAAATTTTGTGAAAAAATGTTTAAAAGAGTTAAAAGAGGGGAGCTTTGAAAAGCTTTGAAAGCTTTGAAAGCTTTGAAAAGCTTTGAAAAGCTTTGAAAAGCTTTGAAAAGCTTTTGAAATACAGATTGTTCAAGAGCTCTAAATACAGAGCTTTCAATATAAAAAAAGACTTTTCAAATCTCTAAATACAGAGCTTTGAAAAGCTTTGAAAGCCTTGAAAAGCTTTGAAAAGATCCCCTGAATCGTGGTGAGAAATTTTTCTTGAATAAGAATCGTGAAATTTGAGTTGAAAAGTCTTTTTTTTATTGAAAGCTCTGTATTTAGAGCTCTTGAATGACTCTTGTATTTTGTATGTTTTTTAGAATTACCGAAGCGTATTGAACAGTATCGGCTCCGAAGGCGGGCTGCTTTCGGACATACGATGAATCCCTTTCCACAACTCCACTCTGCACAAATGCGTCGAGAGGTCGCTGAAATGAGTTCTAATCAAATTGTTAAATTGAAATTTATATAATTATAAAAAAAAATTACAAGTTAATACAATACTATTAATGTGATTAAAAGTTAGAAAATATTCAGTCTTCCGTCCGGAATGAGATAAGAATCCTAAAGGATACTTTCTCGTACTAATTCCAGTATTTAAAAGCTTAAACTCTTCTAATTACCTGACTAAATTTAAACTATAGTTTATTTTTTATTTATTTCTATAAAATTTTTCATTATTCTATTGTACCTGGAAGAAATTTCCCTCAAGAAAACATTTGCACAGCGGTGGCACACATTTAGAGGTGACCGGTGAGGAGCGGCCAAATGGCTGAAGAAAATTTATAGTTTATAGTATTCTATTAGTTGTGTGAAAAAGTAATCCACGTTTTTTATTTTTATCTGATGACCAAATAAGACTCTGTCTTCTCGAAAACCCTCGTTCAACCTCTTCAGAAATAGGCCTTACATTAAATTGTGATGGGTCAACCGTAAGGAAACGCTTGAATGCCATGAATTTTATTAAAAAGTTGGACAAATGGATACCGCATGAACGATAACGCGCGACCACATGTCTCTTTACAGACTCGACAAAAAATCCAGAGTGTTGGATGAGAGGTTTTACCACATCCATCTTATAGTTCAGACCTTTCTCCATCTGATTATTATTTATTTTTGTCTCTGTCTAACTTTTTGGCCAATAAACGGTTCAATTCCGAAGACGATGTCAAAACCGAGGTTAATCTTTTCTTCGCCTCTACGGACCAAGATTTTTATTATCGTGGAATGTCTTTACTTGTAGAACGTTGGCAAATGGTTGTTCTTTCGAATGGTGATTACTTCGTTGAATAAAAATTATTTTAACGAAACTTAAGGTCTTTTATATTTAAACGTTAAAAAACGTGGATTACTTTTTCACACACCTAATATAATGTTATTAAATTTGTTATCAAGTCTGTTATCGAGTACCTTGTAAAGTGCGGTCATTCGTAGCCCGGAGTGGGCACTCCAATTTCCGATTAAATGGTATGCAGGTCGACCATCTCTTCCCTCCATCCACTCGAACATTTCCACGTCATCCTCGACCGGCGCTCTTCGTAATTGCTCGCTTATAGCCCTGAAATTTAGATTTACATTAAAAAAAATCGTATTTCTGAATCAATTTTAAACAAATACCTCCTTTTATGCGATTAAAATCAATGTTTTGTCGATTTTTAACCATAAATTACTCTTTCCCCATATCTTATATGCTAGAAGACCAAAAAAAGGTTAAAATAACCATTCTAGATTAATTCTGCAATGTTTTTAACTTTTGCAAATAGTAAAAAAAGTCATTTTTGCAAAAAAACCACGATTTTTGGAAAAAAAGCAAAATTTTTTGGAGGTATCGGGGTTCGAACCCGAGACTTCCTGCTTGCGATGCAGGCACTCTTCCTCTGAGCTATACCCCCTCCTGTAGTCGGCTCATGAAAGTCGCCTTTTATACAAGCTGGAGGGGGTTTATTGAGTAAAATTCGTTTAGTTAAAACTCACTTTCTTCCGCTACTATAGAATTCGGGGCAAAATCCGCTCTGCGTAGGGCACAGCTTTTTATAGATAGCATCCATGGCGAAAAGGAGACGCTCGATTCCACGTGACAAATAGCCAGCACGGGTCATTCGGCCTGAAACGGATTGTTATAGTGCTATAGTGCTATAGATAAGTACTGTAAAGTATGTAAAGTACCTATCTATAGCACTATTATCTAAAAATCGCTATTTTTAAGCTCAAAAAAGATATTATAAGCCACAAACCAAGCTTCGGCACATCCAAAAGCTCATCCCCGGTGCACATCTTTCCATAGATGATCTTCGACTTTTGAGACAGAGCACATTGATAACTGGAAATGATTTTATTTCGAAAACTAAATACTAAAAGATTTTGCATGAATAGATAAACGAATTGTTCGACAATTTTTCAACTTACCGATCCTCGATGAAGCTCCAGAACCACATTTCGGGAAGATTTAATGGGGAGACTGTTTCAAGCCATTCACGGAAATCCGGATAGACAATGTCCTAAAAATTAGTTGAATATATGATTATCTATATCTAATAATAGTCTAGATTTTTTAAAAACTTACCTTTGGTTGAATGGAAACCGTTCCGACGTATTTTGACCGATCCGCTTCAACATGGAGATAGAAATCATGAGCATCGCCGACCATGATGTGTACCTAAAGCTATTTTTAAAAAGAAATACAAAATTACACAAATTTTTGATAAAAAGTAGAACAAAAGGTATTACTGATTAGAAAAATCTGAAGGAATCTAACTAATAGACCGGTCACTGCCAAGCCAGATCAAGTCTCTTATCCAATCTGGCTAATAAATTTCAACTTTTCGCCAAATCTTTGTCAAATATAATAGGTTGGCAAGAAAGTTCATAGAAAAAGTTTGCATAGTGATTTCTCAAAAGCTAAAGCATATATTTATTCAATATAGTCGCCATTTTCAAGAACCACATTTTGCGATTTATTGGGCAAAGCGCGGATTCCTTTCTCCCAGCTAGAAAAAGCTTGCATAATGATTTCTCAAAAGCTAAAGCATATATTTATTCTATATAGTCGCCATTTTCAAGAACCACATTTTGCCATTTATTGGGCAAAGCGCGGATTCCTTTCTCCCAAATATTCTTTGGTTAGCGAGCGAAGAAACCGCGGAGCCAGTTTTCGACCTCGGCTCGGTCCCCGTAGTGCTCCTTGGCGAGTTCTGCAGCTAGCTTCGGGAAAAGATGAAATTCATAAGATCTGGCGTTTTCATGCAAAAGCAGAGCTTTTCCCTTGCTTGGCCGTTTTTTTTGTGATTTCATCGGCCACTTTATCCAAGTGTCTAGTCTACAGGGATGCTGTAACAGTCGTACTTTCAGGCAGCAATTCCCAATAAACAACTCCTTCGATATCCCACCAAATGGATAACTATCTTCTTCTGGTGAAGTTCTAGCTTCGGCTCAGATTTTGCTTTTTCCCCGGGTCCAAGCCATTGCTTGTGTCTTCGATAGTTGAAATATAATATCCACTTTTCACCACCAGTAAGAACATATGGAATAAAAGAATATCGGTTGTATCTTGAAAGATGGGTGACCGAGATTGAGAGACGCTGCCATCTCATCACGTCAGTCAGAATATGGGGAACCCAGGCCCCAAATTTGGAGGCATAACCCATTGAATTGAGATGATTTGCAATTGTTTTATGAGAGGTCTGAAGTTGTTCTCTCAGATCCCTAGTTAATGTTTGTTATCGATTTGTAAAAGATTGAAAAGAGCTGTTTCATCGAACTCGCTGAGGCGAAGACTCGGCTCATCTTCCAAAGAAAAGTCACCTTTCTCGACACGATGATACCATTTGTATATCATTGCTAGACCTATTGAGCCTTGCCCATAAACAGTATTAATCTCTTCATGAACCTCTCTGACTGGAACTTTTTTGGCGAAGAACAAAATGACATGGATGTTGTCCGACGGACAGCTCTTGAGAAACCTCCAAAGAAATAAAAATAAAGCTGGAAAGTAAACGAATTTCATTTGAGCTTTTCAGCGATCAATAGGAGAGAAGTGAAATAAACAAACTTTATCAGCGATTGTCTCTAATGCTTAAAAGTTAGAGAATTCAGAGACAAAAAATTTTACAGACTTTCTTGCCAACCTAGAATATTTGATCTGTTATTATCCAGCTTTCACCTGATTATGCCCGGCAGCCAAGTAAGAAGCAGCGTCTTTTGCTGTGGCAAACACAATCGTCACATTGGTGTTTGAGATTGGAGCCGGTGGTGAGTCGCCGGAAAGGTTGATCACCTTTAATGCTTACAATTAGAAGATTGAAATTGAATTTTCGACTCACCTCAGCCAAGCAAATCCCCTGATCAGGCGCGAGACGTTCGAAATGTCGGAAGATCGATAGAGAAGCTGAATCATTCTCGGATAGAGCCACTGTGACAAATTCCCAGTTCATTCGGGAGAGTAATCTGAAAACATAGTTAAATATAGATAAGCTAATTGGGTCTACAATGGTAAATTTCATTCAACTTTGAGCCTAATTTTACTTTAAGTATTCTAAAACTACCTTAAAATAGCCATAGCTTGGGCTCGTGCTGATGGAAGCGCCGAGAAGGACTCGTTTGGATCAAGGACATTTGGGTCAGCTGAGACCTGAAAAATGATCAATTAAATTGTAATGGAAATGTAAATAGTATTATCTTTTCTCTCTTTCTTCCTTGTCTTTTCTATTTCTTCTTGGGAAAAGAAGGGGGTCTATAGCTCAATGGTAGAGCATCCGGTAAGCAGAAGGTCGAGGGTTCAATTCTGGTTCCAAATTCTTTACCATTCTTTTCTTTACTTTCTTACTATAAGACACAAAGCATGTGTGTCCGGGCTATAAATTTTATTCTGATTTTTGGAAACAATATGTAATCAGTGTTTGGGATTTTGCCTGTCAAATCAGACTCGGGCAATTTTAAATTTCAGATTTAATTTCACTGTTCTAATGCAGCTATTGTAGAGTAGAATTGTTCAAAAAGCTCAGGTTTAGAGCAAAAATTTCGATAAAACGGAGTTTTTAGGCATTAATAATTGATTGATTGATTGATTTTACAAAACTAACGTTATTTTCAGAAAGTAAAGGAAATTTGACCAACATGAAAAACGGTTGTCCATCTAGTTTCACGTTTAAAGTTGACCATCTTCCCTTTTTTGAGGTTTTTCAATTCTTATTATATATTTAATATGTAAATTTAAATTCATAATCATTTTCGGTGCCCAAACAAACTTACCAAGGCCACATCGGTGTCACTAGAGGCGAAATAGCCACGAAGAGCCTGTTGAGCATCACCCTCCAACGCTGAGACATATCTGAAAGTTAGCGATTAGATTGAATATCTAATTTCTTTACTGTATAAGCAAACATACTATTAAATAATGCAAATTTTATCTTCCCACCCAAAGATACTCTTCGGCACGATAGTGATGTTGCGTTCGGCCTGCGCGAATTGGAAGCACTGGGTCTCCGATCGAATGACACACTCCATAGCCTGAAAAAAACTTGTAAATGAGAAGTTTGATATGTAAATTGTATTCATTATTCTAATTTAAATACTCACTTGTTTCCCACTGGCACATGTGTCCACCAAAAGCGCGCCGAACTCGAGATTCTTCAAGAGATTCAACTGCGGGAATCGTTGCTTGAAGGTCCACACCTGGAAATGGGAAAATATGGGTGTTGTTGTAAGATAAATGTAATTACTAATTACTAACGTAATTATCAAAATGTTACCGTATGAATGAAAGCCATTGGCAGCGAGATATCAGTGTTCTTCATATTCTCGCAGCTCAGCCCGGAATGGAGTGAGAAGAGAGCCGATAGGTAGACCGGGTAAGTCTTCGGGATGGAGACAAAATATTTCTGGAATTGAGAATTGAATATTTGTCCACAAATTTGGCACATTATGGTATAAAGGGCATATTTTAGAATGCAGAAAAAACACTCCTTTCCCCGCGACTATTAAAATTTTAAGGTTCAAAAGAGATATTCACTTTAAATCTCAAGTTGATCACACAATACATAGAATTTTAGATTACCAACACGATTAAACGATTAAAATTATAATTTTCATACTCTTATACTATAGCTCTAAACGTTAGCTCTAAACGAAGAGTTTTAATGGTTTTATAGATAGTTTTACCCAACCTCAGCCGAGACAGCGACAACATTCGGGCAGACACCGCAGAATGGCCGATGGGGCATACAAATTGAACGGATTCGAGCTGTCTGAAAAAAGCAAACATTAAAATAAATCATAAATCTACATCTAAACTAATCAAAGATACTTTAGACTTGAGAATTTATCAAATTTTTGACCTGTGGTCGAAGTGAGGCGATCACGATCGATGGTTTCTTGCCGGTGGTGTACTCGAGAAGCTAAAATGAAAAGAATGTGAAAAATTTATACAGTAGATAGATTCTAAACCATTGAATAAAACGCAAATCAGATAAACTCTTAAAAAGAAAATTTAAACCGACCTTGTACTGAACAAGTCTATTCTCTTTATCCCTTGACACCTCAATCGCTTCGATCACCATTCCACTAGCGACCAACACTCCATCTCTAAAAAGCTATTTTCCGTAAATACTCTAATAGAAGCCCCCTAAGTTTACTCTCAAACAAACGCTCATATCTTGACACCAGTAGGTTTGTTTCTGCGCGCTTAGATATCAAACTAAAGTAGAGAGAATGGGTAATCTTTTGAGATATAACACATATTTTTAACATTAACCAGCGCTTAGAAAAAAATGATCGAAAAGTGGCAAAAAGAGCCGATTTTTCATCATTTTTCAATCATTTTTTCTAAGCGCTGGTTAATGCTAAAAATATGTGTTATATCTTTAAAAAAAACACCCATTCTCTCTACTTTAATTTGATATCTAAGCGCGCAGAAACAAACGTACTGGTGTCAAGATATGAGCGTTTGTTTGAGAGTAAACTTAGACTTGGCGACGCTCCCATAGGGGAGCTTCTATTAGAGTATTTACAATATATCTTACGTCCGATTTTGAAAACTTTTTAATATAATCATGTTAAGAACATAATCATGTCTATTAGAATCACTAAATTACTAAAGAAATTATAGTTTTTGCAGTTAAAAATGAAAAAAAGATGCATTTTTTTGTAGCGTTTTTGATAAACTATTGTTTGAAATTTGATTAAATTAAAAAAGGCGTAATTTCAATAGTTTTAAGATAAACCTTCTGTTAAGATACTAAAGTGCTGAACAAAACTAGAATTGTGTTTGGCTTTAACTAGATTTTGTCGAAAAATTTACTAACATTGTACACAAAATTGTGAAATTCTTTATGAAATGACTTTTTTTAGGTAAAAAGAGGCTTCGAATAAAATAAAAGCTTTCAAAATCAGACGTAAAATACGTTAAAGATTTAGATTTTTTTAAATAAGTTTAAGTAAATCTTTCCAACTCACTTTCCACGATAGAAGTGCAAGCTTTGACCACCAAATTCAGCTGGATCATTTGACGTGAATGTGTACTCGAGAGTCGATAACTCTGACAACAACAAACTAGTGCATTCGGGATCAGCGTGCTCACTAAAGAAAAAGTAAAGAAATTCATGTAAAAATTTTTCAATACTCACCAAATTTTCATCTTCTTTGGATCAGCCGAGATGACGGCACCCAGCGTCGAGAAAGCGTACGCCAAACGAATGGCAGCCTCGGTGTGTCGAGACTAAAAGTGATTTTGATTGAAAAATTCATTCAGCTATTGCATAACCTGCTTACATACCTAATAAAGTGCAGAATTTTTTTTGAAATTTGTAAATCTACTCATTTCCAAGTTCCAAGTTCAAAGCATGAATTTTGCGAGGTAAAAAATGTAAATTCTTTTAATTCCGAAAGTATAACTCAATTGGGATGGCTTAGGTAAGGATATATAGTAAAAGAAGAATAATTTGAGTAAAAGATGAGCTACCGTAAATACTGTAATAGTACCCCACCGCCCTCGTAAAGTCGCGTAGTCGCAAAAGTTTTTTAGTATTTCATTTTGTTTCAAAGCGCCCGTACTTTCAAAAAATGCGTCCTTGGTATCAAAAAATAGCTGAAATTCAGGGCTATTTTTTGATACCTAAGCGCGCATTGTAGCATAAACCAGTGTCGAGAAAAACTCGTTCAAAGCTAGACTACGCAACACTCCGCACCGTCATTATGGGGTGGGGTAATATACTGTAATAGTTTACAGTATTTACAGTAGTTTATCTTTTTTTGCAAGAGTTTAAGTAAAAACTATCAACTTTTGCCTTACAAACCTGCGCATATTTCTCAATCATCGTTTTCTCCTCGAGATCACAGTTGTCAATGGTGCAATTGTAGACCTGAAATGAGCTCAGAATCGATTTGTAGCGCCCAAAAATGAAAACGTATCCTTTCTAGTGCACTTGTAGTTTAAATTTTTAAATTTAAACCAACCTGATTTACATACGAGGTCAACAACGAATAGCTTTGATAGTTATTCTTGAGTACTCGCAGGAAATAGTCGCGAAATTGGGGCAATTCGGTGAAACGCGGTTGGATCAACATTACCTGGAAAGGGATAGAATTTGATATAAATATGTAAATCCTAAATTAATCCTAACTTTTAAATTTCAAACCTGCAAAGTCGAGTCTTCAGGTAGAATCTCGGTGATTTGATCATCAGGAAGGGCTTCACCATCCAATGGAAGACTCAGCCAAAGCTTGTCCATTGAAGAAACCAGTGAGTGAACAGTCAGTGAGGAGAGCTGAAGATAAAAGTTGAAGATTAGATTGAAGATTGATTTCGATTTTTTAAAAATTTACCTGATCAACACTGAGCAATGAGAGCACAATTGTGGCCTCTGAGTTGGTGACAGTTTGAATGAAGAGCGGGCTGTTGATTGAGATCTGCTCGGCGATGAAAATCCCCGCGTCTTTGAGTTGAGAGGTTACCTAGAAATAAACAGATTTCAGTAATTTATAGAATTGATATGATAAATTTTATATCTAGTAAATCACAGTACATCTTGCGTCAATTTCTCATCGCTTCCACTGTCCACCAGGATGACGAGATTCGAGCGGAGTTGCGCGAGAACCCGAATAGCAACCTGGAATGAAAAAATGGTCAAAGTCATCTTACAAAAGTCTTCTCTTATGAAGAGATTTTCGATGCTTTACATTTCTATGCTTTACCTCAACATAAACCGATATTGTTGGAGTGGTTGAGATGAGATTTTCTGGGTGAACATGTGAGAGAACGGTTGACGAAGAGAGAGAATACGAGGCGACGGGAAGAGCAGCTTTGCCAACAACACGGCCGAGAAGTGCTGATGAATGACCGTCTTTCGGAGCAATCACTCCTAAATCTCTTTATAAATCCAAATCTATCTCTAGGTTTTCTATTTTAATAGTTGTAAATGGTCGAACCTAGTAATCGCGCTGGTGGTGCATGATTTCGGCATTCGGTTGGCTCCAAAAAGCCGAGCGAGTCCAAGAAGCGGAGACTCTGTAAATAAAATGAATTAAGCTAAGCTAGAAAACTGTACTTTAATTCTAAAGTACAGTTTTCTACAGTAAACCCTGATATAGTGCTTTATTTGAATTCATAGAAGTACTGTAGAAAAAAGGACGGTTTAGAATGGCAAATATGGGTAAATTGAGACGTAAACAGTAGTCCAACTAGTATCATATTGTTTAAAAGTATACTATGATGAAGTTGAGATTCGATTAATCAAGAATTCAGAAGAAAATGTTTAAGGATCACCTGTGAGAGAGCCTCTCTCGATCTCGAGCACGAGTCACCGGCATACAGGCCGAGCTTGGCGTTGAAATTGTTCGGATTTTGATTCCAATGCGTGAGTGCCCATTGAATCGCAACAATTTCTAAAAACAATTTCAAGTATTTGTTGAGATTTCTGTCAAACATTTACCTTGAACAGTGTCGGGTCTCAATTCACGGCAGTCCTCCTCGTGCAACGGGAATGAGCCGCCGATTTGGAACTGAAATAAAATGACAATAGGGATTAGGAAAAATATAGATTTGACAGCACTGGCTGACAGTAACTATTAACTTTTACGGTTCTTTTTAGATATGGTTCTTTTTAGACCCAATACGGTTCCAATACGGTTCCAATACGGCTGCAATACGGCTCCTATTTTGATCTAATACGGTTCCAATACGGTTCTTTTTAGATCCAATACGGTTTCAATACGGTTCCTATTTTGATCCAATACGGTTCCAATACGGTTCTTTAACTTAGTGGTTCAAGTTCCATGGAAATTTTGACACTTGATCATAAAACCACTTATTCTACTCACCTTATTGTTATCGGGTAAAACTTTAAACGGATCGTAGACTGAGCAGAGATCATCATCATTTGAAGACAATGGGGAAAGGGTGGTCGATGGGAGTGGAGATGAAGATAGAGATAGAGATGACAGGGGGACACCTAGGCATCCGATGATCAATACAAGGGACCACATCGAATGAAGATTGATGTGGAGAGGAGAGGTCAGAATAGATAGGGTTCTCTCGGGCTCAACTACCTCCGCATTTCCACTGAAAATTTGAAAGCTTGAAAGGAATTATTATACTTTTAGCTGAATCACACAAAGTTTTGAGCTCAAGTTCTGAACTCTAAAAACATGACACTGAAACACTTTGTCATTGTCATTGTGCAGAGAAAGCGAGTTTTTCTGTATTCAAGCCTATTCACAATCTATTCAAGGGTTTAGTGAGAGGAAAAAAAAGGAGAAAATGGAGAAAGGAATATCTCGAGGGCATTCCAGGATTATCATGAAGAAAAGAGGCTTTCGAAAGTTGGCGAAAAGTTCAGAGGAGAAATCTGGTTAAAGAATGACCGAATTACCGATTTTCAGTGAAAACAAATTCTCAGCAGATGGGTATAGTTTAATAATTTAAGCAGAATTTATTCAACATTTTCTTTTTGCATCTACAAAACAAAAACCCCAAAAGAAAGAGACGAAATGACTGGCTAGGTGTTCTTTGTGCTCGCACAATCGTTCTCGATTTGGCATATCCCTCGGACATAAGGGTTTTATAAGTGGATCAATTTTTGCGTGGTCGTATTCTTACAACAAATTCCACCTTCCCATTGGACCAAAAATAGCTGAATTCAAAGTTGAAACTGACCTTGAAAGCCGTTAAGATATATAAAATCATAAAATCTTTCAACAATGAAAGATCTAAGAAATAAAAGATGAAAAAGATAATTTAAAATAGCTGAAAGTAAGCTGTCATTGGCTTTGAACAAGGAAATTCTTTTCGAAAGCTCGTAAAGCAACCAGGTACCGGTAGGTGAACCTGCCGGTGGATCAATACTGTAAACGCCTCGCATCACAGTGTGCTACGACACTTATAAGCAGTTAGAAACGCCCGACCGCTATTGTTAAAATAACTGAAAGTAAAATAACTGAAAGTAAAATAGCTGAAAGTAAGCTGTCATTGGCTTTTTGAACAAGGAAATTCTTTTCGAAAGCTCGTAAAGCAACCAGCTTCATTTGTACAAGGGGAAAATGGTAGACAAGACATTGAAAGAGAAAGAGGAAAGCAAAAGAAGTAGAAAAATGGGCAACTGGATGGATTAACATTGACGAGAATGGAGGGAAAGGGTCCTTGTATAGTGTTGTGTCTTTAAGGAAAAGAGAACGATCTTTCTTTTCACTCTCGTCACGAGATTTCTTTCCGATGAAAAGGAGAAGCATGTCCTGGAAGTTGGAGAAATATTCGTTTTAGAAAGAAAGTCTATAAAGGTACAGTAAACATTAACAGAATGGGATTGAACTTTTAGGATTTACATCTTACATTGAAATTTCCTGAATAGCTTCTAAATTCATCATTTACTTGATTTGGGTGTATCAACTGAACTCACTGCTGTGTGCTGTGCTCAAAAGCATAAGCACACTCTTTCTGGTACACCGAATTCTCCCAGAGATGCTGTAGCTCGAGAAAAGGAGTCAAGTGACCAAAAGGGATATGTTTACACATTTTTTGATATCAAAAAGTACACCAGAGAAACCAAAGACAGTAATCAAGATCAAGATAAGTGAAAGGAATTGGTAAGAAAGATCTCCGAAGAGGGGATTGAACCCTTGAACACTGGAAGCTTTCCAGACAATTGTTCTAATCACTGAGCTATCGCTATAGCTAACGATTTGGAAGCTGGAAGCAGTTTGAAAGCAGTTTGAAAGCAGTTTCGAAGCAGTTTCGAAGCTAGCTCTAATCTACCCTATAATTCTCAATAGAATCCATCTACAATACAAAGAGTTAGTCGAATTTCTTTTAAGGAAATAGTATTGAAGTGGAACATGTTATGAAAATAGTACAAACAAATCTATTTCTGCTAGACAAGTGTTCGATTAAAGAAAAGTTTCCGGGGAAATTCAATTCTTCTTTCTCGAGTAGAATCTCGAGTCGAGATTAGTCACGCAAATGAGTAACACTTTCAAGACTTTCAAGAAAGAACTTTTGTACAAATAAGAAAGAAAAAGAGTTTGGCTTAATGCAAGATTGTATAACAAAACAAAATAAATAGACAAAGGAGTTAAGTTTTGACAAATAAATAGACAAAGTTTTGATAAAAGAGTTTAAATGAGAATCAGAACGACTAGCCGATTGAGAATCAATCAGCTAGTCGTTCTGATCGTTGAGAATCAATCAGCTAGTCGTTCTGATCGTTGAGAATCAATCAGCTAGTCGTTCTGATCGTTGAGAATCAATCAGCTAGTCGTTCTGATCGTTGAGAATCAATCAGCTAGTCGTTCTGATCGTTGAGAATCAATCAGCTAGTCGTTCTGATCGTTGAGAATCAATCAGCTAGTCGTTCTGATCGTTGAGAATCAATCAGCTAGTCGTTCTGATCGTTGAGAATCAATCAGCTAGTCGTTCTGATCGTTGAGAATCAATCAGCTAGTCGTTCTGATCGTTGAGAATCAATCAGCTAGTCGTTCTGATCGTTGAGAATCAATCAGCTAGTTGAAAAAAGTGCTTTAAAGAGTTCAAAAAACTTATTGTTAATTAAAGTTCAATAATTAAGTAAAAAAGGATTTAAATTCAAGAAAGAAAATCTTTCATTTCCTAAAAAGTCAACTCTTTGCATCAAAAAAAGGTAAAATTGATATCAATTTCTTTTTCTACTAAATATTTTTCTGATCTAAAACAGCCGAAAATGTCACTATCAATTAGTAAATCAAACATTTAAAAGCTTTCACCAAAAAAAAGTTACAGAAAATACAAGAAAAATGAAAGGATTTCTTAAATTTCTAACAATTTTGAAGATTTTCAATGGTAAGTTTCGATTCGTTTTAAGCTTTAAAATGAAAAAATTCTCTAATCACGCAAATTATAGTTATTTCTAAAAGTTCTAAGGAAAAGGGTTATCAACTTCAAGTTGCCAACTTAATATTTTCGATTCATCACGATTTGCGTGCAATGTGATGTGTATTGAATCTGGTTTCGATCTCTGTCTGCTTTTCGAATCAGTTCAGTTAAGAGCAAATAGAATAAGTTAAGTTAGCTTTTATTTTTAATAATAAATCATTTATAATAAAGGAAAATGAATTAATAATGTTATTTTATAAAGTTATTATAAAGATTTTGATACATTCTTGAGATTTGAATAGTTAAAGAATAGTTATTAGTTTAACTATTTGAATAGTTAAAGATTGATGAGATGCAAAGTAAAAAGTACTGTAAAAGTACTGTAAAAGTATTGTAAAGTACTGTAAAAGTACTGTAAAAGTAAACAAGTCGATCTTGACGAAAGATATCAATGAATTGCTAGCAACTGACAAAAAAAAAATCGAACCCAATCGAATCCAAGAGGAGATTGGTGAAAATAGGACATCCCTGAAAAGATCAAGCAAAAAAGGAGGAGAGATTTCTCAATGGAAACGACAAAAAAGTGGGGAGAAAGGAGAAAAGAGGGGGAAAAGCCATCTTTTCCTTTTCAGGTGAAGTGTCAGCGCTTTTCGGAGAAAGGGTTTTCGAGGTCGATTCCCGATTTTTGTCTTTCCAGACTTTCGAGCTAATAAAAGTCACCAAAAGTCACCAAAAGACATCTTCAATAGAGGGTTACAGTGGCTCATGATAAGTTAGAAGTTTACGGTAGCTTACGGTAGATTAAAAGGTTACGGAAACATAGCACTGTAACGATTACCATCTAAGTTAATCTCAGATTTCAGTCGTTAGTATCAATCTATTCCAGGGCTATATGTTAATCAGCTTTTACATTATCAACCCCAAAATTCAAATACAATGTGCTTTAAAAAAAGCTTGAAATCAATAAGGCTCAAAAAACATCTGGACTCTCGATGGAGAGGGTCGATTTTTGATCCAGAAAGTCCTACAAAGTTCCCACAAATATCGAATTGATCTCAAATATTACAGGCGAGTCTTGTGGTCAGAAACAAGCATAAAAAGACATAAAGTTACTGTAATATTTAGAATTAAAGTTACTGTAGTTACTGTAGTTACTGTAGTTCTGTAGCTACTGTAGCTACTGTAGTTACTGTAGCTACTGTAGTTACTGTAGTTACTGTAGTTACTGTAGTTGCTGTAGTTGCTGTAGCTACTGTAGTTACTGTAGCTACTGTAGTTACTGTAGTTACTGTAGTTACTGTAGTTACTGTCGATGAGATGCAAACGCCTATCGGACATTCGAATCCAATGCTGTGTTTATTTTTTGCCTCGCTCTGGCTTTCGAGAAAAGCGCATACAATGTTGCTCATCTCACCTATAAGAGAGTGCTACGCCAAGAAAAAAATTGCTAAGAAAAAAAGCATTGGCAGTCTAGGGGATAGTGCGTCAGACTATCAAACTAGTACAATCTTTGCTCCCGGTTCAACTCCTCTCATTTCCATCGCATTGTCGTTTAAAAGTCTCACATCCTCTTTGGAACATTCTGTTGTTAGAATTAAAATTACTTTAGAATACCCGGGTTTTCAATTTGTAACTTGTCAAAGTTGCCTTCGCTTTTCCAATCACAACCTTTTAACTAACTTAGAAGTTATTTGATTGAGCAAGCCAATGAAGCCAAGTTATTTGATTGAGCAAGCCAAAGCCAATGAAAATTTGAAAGATAAACTCACTTACAGTATTGCATATTTCTTTACAGTACTCTAGATAACTTAAGTTCTAAAAATATAGCCTTTAATCTTTAAAGATATTCCTTTAAAAAGTTTGAAAAATTTTTGGCTATAAATCTGGTTGTTCCTTGAAGTGTTTTCATGGCACTTAACCCGATTGTCGTTTTTTTTTTGATCGTTTGACCAATTCAGGTCAAATATGACAAAAGGATGAAGAAAGGGTTGAACTTTAATTTAGTTTGATAGATTGACATCAATTGAATGATAATATTGAATGATAATAGTTAGAGATCTGAACTCATTACAAAGGATATTCAAATATCAAGGGTGAATAGCTGGGTTTACAGAAGTTACAGAGGTTTACAGAAGTTACAAAG